ACATGGTCAGACCACCGGTGGAATCACCGGATTGAGTGCTATGTTACCACAAGCAACCGGTCATGTAAATACCGGTCAAAAAATACCGGTTGCAATGGTCTAGATACAATATATCATAATATCCTCTAAATTTATGGCTTTCCCTTGTAGGGCTCATAACTTTGTCAAATCTTAACCATTTTACATGATCAGACCACCGGTGGAATCGCCGGATTGAGTGCTATGTTACCACAAGCAACCAGTTACATAAATACCGGTCGTTGTTGCACCCCATAATACCGGCCCACCCGTCTCCATTGCACCCTATCATGCCGGCCCACCCGTCTTCATTGCACCCCATATCACCGGCCCACTCGTCTTCATTGCACCCTATATCACCGGCCCACCCATCTCCATTGCACCCTATAATGCTGGCCCACCCGTCTTCATTGCACCCCATATCACCGGCCAGCTCGTCTTCATTGCACCCCATATCACCGGCCGACTCGTCTTCATTGCACCCAATAACACCGGCCGACTCGTCCTCATTGCACCTCCTTTACCGGCCCACCCGTCTCCATTGCACCTGCTATACCGGCCCACCCGTCTCCATTGCACCTGCTATACCGGCCCACCCGTCTCCATTGCACCTGCTATACCGGCCCACTCGTCCTAATTGCACCTTATTTACTGGCCCACCCATCTCCATTGCACCTGCTATACCGGCCCACCCGTCTCCATTGCACCTGCTATACCGGCCCACTCGTCTCAATTGCACCCTATTCTCCGGCCCCCTCGTCTTCATTGCACCTTATGTACCGGCCCACTCGTCTCCATTGCACCTCATTTACTGGCCCACTCATCTCCATCACACCCCAGTTCCCCGGCCCACTCGTCTATATTGCACTCCATTCCTCCGGCCCACTCATCTATCACACACTGGATTCACTACTACTATTCATAATTTCCTATATAGTACATTGCTATACTACCATCTATACTATATACACCCGGCCCATCCGTTTGCCTTGGACACTCCACCCCCTCAGCCCACTCGTCTAACACGGTACAATTATTGCCATGGGCCGGCACCGGGTGGCCCGTCTCTATTGGTACATTGTCACACCCGGCTGCCCGTCTGAGACGGGTGAATTCACTGAAGGGGCCCATGAATTACCGGACGGCACTTATGAAGTTCTTCCCAGCAACCCTGGAATCCGTAGATTCGTATGGGAACACTGCTCAGATGCTAATCGCGTCCTCCATAGGTTGAAACATGCTGGTGCCACCATCTCGGCGAAAAAGCTCTTCCTATGTGTACCAGAAGTTCTAGTCGTCGGACAACTCTGCACGTACGAAGGTCGAATTCCGGATGATTCGAAGGTAGCTAAAATCAAAAGTTGGCCACCCTGCTCAACTCGAACCGAGGTTCGCAGATTCTTAGGTACTGCGGGAACTGTCCACAACTGGATCAAGGACTACGCATCCATTGCTCGCCCGCTCACGAACCTCACCCGCAGTAATGTTACCTTCAATTGGGATAACCAAGCCCAGAACGCCATGAATGAGCTAAAGGATGCTATTGTCACTTCCCCGGCTATTCGACCCATTGATTATTCATCTGGAAAAGAGGTCATTTTATCAGTCGACTCCTCGTATATCGCATGCGGCTGGATACTACTTCAGCTCGACAACGACGGACGTCGCCGCCCAGCTCTTTTTGGCTCTATCACTTGGAACGAGCGAGAGTCTCGCTACTCACAGGCCAAGATCGAGCTTTATGGCTTATTTTGTGCTCTTCGAGCAGCCAAGGTCTGGCTCATCGGACTAAAGGCATTCATGGTGGAGGTAGATGCCAAATACATTAAGGGAATGTTGAGCAACCCAGACATTCAACCCAATGCGGCAGTTAACAGATGGATCGCCGGGATTTCCCTCTTTGATTTCAAACTCCACCACATACCAGGGAAATGACACACTGGTCCAGATGGTTTGTCTCGACGACCCTCAGCACCCGAAGACAAAGAATACCCAGACGAGGCAACAGAAGAGGTTGAAGAGGAGATAGATGAGATTTTGGGATGTGGACTATGGGTGGCAAAAGAGTTAGATGACGCATGGCCTGGAAAGACCCACAGCACTCTCATCCTCACGACTACCAGGACCCCGCACCATGACAACTCCAAGCCCAACCTCCCCTCTAATAGCATATCCCTTCGCCATGACAACGATCTGCAGTTAATCAAGACCTACCTGGAAACCCTCTCTTTCCCATCCTCTATTCCAGACTCAGACCGACTCCGCCTCCGCAAAAGCGCACATCAATTTTTCACTCAAGGCAGTCATCTCTGGCGTAAAGACTCGGCGGGACGTCATCAGCTGGTACTTTTCGGCTCGGACCGTGCTTGTATTCTGCACGAAGCCCATGATAACCTTGGTCACAAAGGTTTCTATTCTACACAACGCACCATCACCGACTGCTTCTGGTGGCCAGCACTTGACAAAGATCTCACCTGGTACCTTAAAACGTGCCACCAATGTCAAATCCGGTCCATCGAGAAGGTTGTCATTCCACCCACAGTCGCTATCCCATCAACGCTCTTCAGAAAAGCCTTCACGGATTCAATGTACATGCCCACAGCACATGGATATTCTTACGTTGTTCAAGCACACTGCTCGCTGTCTAATTGGCCGGAGTTTAGAATGTTGAGAAAGGAAACCGGAAGAACACTGGGAGTGTTCCTATTCGAAGAAATTCTTTGCAGATGGGGCACCATAGAAGAAATAGTAACGGATAATGGCACCCCGTTCATTGCTGCACTCGATTGGATTGCCCAAAAGTATCATATCCGGCACATTCGTATTTCTGCCTATAACTCCAAAGCCAACGGCCTCGTTGAACGCTCTCATCGTTCTATTCGCGACTCTCTTGTAAAAGCATGCAACAGAGACATCACTCAATGGCCTACCCTCACACACCATATCTTTTGGGCCGATCGTGTCACTACTCGAAGATCTACTGGCTATTCCCCTTATTATTTAGCCCACGGTATTGAGCCATTACTTCCATTCGATTTCGTCAACGCTACCTTCACCTTCCCCGATGTCACATCCCTTCTCTCAACTAATGACCTAATTGCCGCCCGGGCCCTTCAACTCGCTAAGCGAGACGAAGATCTCGCACTCGCTCACGACCGACTTCTTAACAGCCGTCTCGCATCAATCAAGGACTTCAAGCGTCGCTTCGCCAACACCATCCACGATTATGCATTCAAGCCTGGAGATCTAGTACTAGTCCTCAACAAAAAGATCGAGGCAGCTGCAAATGCTAAGTGCAAGCCACGATACTTTGGACCAATGATTGTAGTCTCGCGCTCCGCAGGCGGCTCTTATCGCCTCGCAGAAGTCGACGGCTCCGTCTCCAAACTGAAGTTTGCAGCTTTCCGAATTATCCCTTATCACCCGCGCTCTCCCACCTCACTTGAAGTCACGCAGTTTATCAACCCTCAAGCTCTCGCAGGTATCGACAATGAACAAAACTAGATGCGTTGTTTATCTCTCCCTCTCTACCTAATCTGCATTTCTATTCTCTACTATACAGTACGATTTTCCTTTTAGTTTATTTGTTGGAAGATCGACCGAGGACGGTCGATATTCGAAGTTGGAAGGGGATGTAAGGATTCAATATCCTTTATGCCCCGACCGCGCTTCAAAATGAAGACGATCGAATCGCCACGCGTTCGAACTCGTCCATGTGACACACTGATGCGAAGAGCGTCACTCTTCGCATCCGAGTCACGCGGATACATTCCTTTACATCTCCTTTTCACTTTCTTTCGTTATCTCACCTTGTGCTCACGCTCCACGATCTCCTTGCTTCACCGAAGTATTTTCACCTCTCCATATGCTTCGTATTCTCATTCAGGTCTAGCCAAGTACTCGAAAACGTATATAAACCGCCCATGTACACTCATACCTATAGCAGAATCCTAGACGCTGATTCCCCGCTCCAAGCTCGATCGAAAACCATCGCAGAAAGTCCTCGACATATACGTTTACTCTACTCGTCTCGTTCGCCGTTGCGCTCGTCACTTATCTACTTCGTCTTGTTACATTTCCCCTTCGAACTCACAACTAGCCTTACATTACACGTTACAGCAACACTCTGTCCAGTAGTAGCCGACTATGGTGAACATTGTTAAAGGCTACCTTGCTATTCAAGATTCGGCCATCGCGTCAGAGCGTGCATTCTCAAGCGGGGGGATTACTGGAACGGCGCGGCGCAACTGCTTGTTGCCCAAAACCTTCGAGGCTCTTCAATTACTCAACAATACATGGCATAGACGTTGGCGATAAAAACATACGTTTCGAATGTGAACACTTAAGGGCTGAAAGGTAAATAGAAGCGATGTGAGTTGCGAGAGATACGCGAGATCAAGACTCAGTACCGTGACATCAGTGAATTCGTGAGTCCTTGATATTGTAGCCGTGAAAACTATAGAAGGATGTAATTCTGCCTCTGCTAAATATGGTCGATCGTGGACGTCCCGGGGCTTTCTGCAGAGAACATGGGTCGGCAAGGGGTACCAGACTGAAGAAGGCTATCCCTTTGGGTGACGCGTGGTTACCAAGACCTAGATGCTAGGAGGGTTGTGCCTGTGTATATGAAACGGCGTGAATAGAGGGTTCGATGGGTCACAGTTCTCAGCACCTTGTGCTCGAACGAAACTTTTCTACCCATTCTGGACCGTGATGTGGCAACCTGCGCCCATCATTGTCTGGTTTTCAAACTGCATCGGATTCATCGCGCTCACAAGCTTCGCCAAATGTACATGTTAATTTTTGACGCCCGCATTTTCTGTGTCTGCTCTTTGGCGTGTATCACTCAGGGATTGCATATGCGTGTGCACCATTGGCAGATGTAGACTTCCGGACCTAGATATTATGCACGGTAACGCGTATGAAGGGGCATGTCTATGAGCGTTAGCCAAGAGCATGCCTACTGTACAAGAGTTGTTACAACTGCAGGCCGTAGCACATATGAGTCTTAGTCCCCCCGCCAACCAGCATCATTTAGTCAAAATGCATCCCACCATCGACCGTGATCTGCACAGTTGTCAGCCCCCGTGCACACGGACTCTCAAGGTAGTACTTACACTTTGTCCTGTTGGTTGGTGATCATCAGGACTGATAGCCGGAAAGGTTCTATAATACTTACCTGTGATAAAATGAGATTCTGCGGAGGCAATGTAAGAGACCAGTCCCGCAACGTCGTCTGGAGTCCCCTTATACCCGACACAGATCTTCTTCTTGGCCTACGGAGAGATGCTTGAATGTGAAGTCGTGAGAACAGCCCTACTGTCTTACATTTTCGTCATAGACATCAGGGTCAGATAATCCTCTCAGCTTCATTGCCGCTGCATTGAGGTCGAGATCTGTGACCCATTTATGACGCGGGATTTTTATTTACAGCGATCACTCACGCATGGCAGTCACGATTAGTCCTGGAGCGTAGGTATTCACGGTGATACCGTGTTGTCCAACTTCGATGGCTATCATATGATCACTTGTCAGAAATCATTGTAACCCAACGTAGATAGTCGTCATACCAGTAGACTGGGTAAGACCTCGGACTGCAAATTTGGAAGCACAGTACGCGCTAAGGTATTCATCACCTTTGTGAAGGAAGAATTCACGGTGTGTCAAAAACTACGCGTGGACACACGCACCTCTTTTACCGGATATAGAGCTGGCGCCAATGATGCGTCGGCCTCGTTTGTGGGTCTCATTCAAGGCAATCATCTTTTTAGCCGCGTATTTGTAGCTTAAAAACACCCCTCTGACGTTGACTGCAAAGATCTTCTCCCAGTCTTCTGTGGTAGCTAGTCAAGTGAAAAATAAGTACAACGCTGCGGATGATCCCAAGGTCACGTTTCTCACTTTCCACCAATGGTCCGATGTGAATGATACCGGCGTTTGCGACCATCTCGAAGTGACATCGATCATGAGAAGCTCATGATCAGGATATATTGAACTCACGACGTCCAGACCACCAAGCTCAGTCACGACACTGTCCACCATACTACGAACATCGTCCTCGACTGTGACATCTGCGAGAAGTACGCAGACCCTTCGTCCTGAATGAGCAGTCGCTATCTCCTGCGCGACCTCCTCAATCTTAGACTTGTTGGTAGAGATATCGTTGAGTCCAATGTCAAAGCCATCGGCGGCCAGGCGAAGAGCAATTGCACGGCCAATCCCTTGACCAGCACCAGTGATCAGTGCAACACCTTTAGAGCAGCTTGTCATGGTAGCCAGTGGTGTAAGTCAGAGCCTGGGAGTAGAGCTACGGTAAGGCAAGCGGCGATCCCGGGATGTCAGTCCGACGGAGGGTCATACGACTCGAACATGTCAACAATAGTACCCAATGACGTTCAAGTCAAGGCACCAACACTGTGCGCAAAGGTCTGGTGACCTTGCAGTCAACAGCAGTCAACTTGCGGTGAAGGTACGGACAAATATGCACGATGAACGATTTTAATATGCAAGCAGAATATCTGATATTACATAATCACCACTAGGGGCATCGTGAAAATGCTGTGACTGCTGTAGCAACTGTCGCGACTACTAGTGCGATACTACCAAACGGTGAGTGCGTACTTCTACCTTCCAGTGACCTCCAAACTAGCCATAAATCCACGCGCATACCATCCACACTCACTTCGGGCACTAATATAAAGCATTTACATTACCTTGCTTCTGTGCCTTATGGCCTGTTTAGTGACCGCGACTTGTCGCAGCACCAATCGCAGCACACCGCAGCACCTATTTCCTTATACGCAGTGTGCTGCGATTTGGTGTTGCGGTGTGCTGCGATTTGGTGCTGCGGTGTGCTGCGATTGCTGCGGCGTGCTGTGGTGTGCTGTGACAGTAACTTATGTACTTGCTAGAAATTGAAGCTTGTGGTAGAGTCGTGCTATAATGTAGACTATTCAGTGGCTTTTGCATCATAATTTACATTAATCATATGTAGTACATAAGTAGCTTGTAAGTAGTTAAAACAGATGGATTGACAGACATGGTTAACCGTTCACCACGAGTGAGTCGTGTCTCGTCTGTGATACGAGTGAATAGCGCCAACATTCATGCTCAGGCAAGGATATACAATACATTTACTCAGCCTGTCAGCATGAAAATTTAGAAAGCTGAAAGCTGAATGAATGATAAGATAAAACTCACTGCATTGCAAGCGAGCATCCTCCGGACTCCAAGTGTCAAAATGACTGTTGCTGTTGTATGGTAGCCCCGGACTTTACATCCAAAACGGAGGAATCAATAGACAGCTACAGTGTAACGGATTGTTGGGAGCGAATAAGTGGCATGGAACGCCAGACTCGGACGTGACGAAGTAGTGAGAGTGTGAATGCTTGATGATAGCGCTCAACTGAGTGTGAAGAGACCGATAACGCTTGACTCCAATGGTAGCTCGTTTGGAAGACGTTCGAAGGTCGAAGTAGTTAGCAACAGGTGTTGTTGATGCGCACTCACCATTTGGCAGTATCGCAGCAAGCCCTGGTGGCGGCAGTTGCCGTAGCATTTTTTAGTGTCCTCACCAATATCAAAGACTGTCCGTTTTGACGTGGTGGATCACTGGATGCAAGGTGGACTCTACGTTTGCTCTACTGTCATCTGTTGTCTATGCGTGTATGCTGATTTTTGCATAGGACGTCCAATCCGTTGCCTTCACAAGTTGTGGGTGGTTGGCGGTTGCGTGCTTGGCCATTTGTGGGTGGTCGGGACTGTCGTCCCTACGTTAACCGTTACGCCAAAAGGCAGTGATAATGAAAGCTCACGCTTCATTATCTCGGACAGTATTTATGTTGATTATGGGAAGTCAGGTAAGCCAACGGGCTTACACCATTCTAGTACACGAGATGCATGCTAACTTGAACAAGTGCAACACGGCTCGCTAGTGACTGAATCAAAAGCGTATCATTGACGGGTTCGCTACAGCTAGAGGCATGAATGAAGACAATTTCTAGTGTTGTGCGGGCCGGGCTTGGGCCAGGGCTTGAGCGGGTATGGGCTTCCTAATATTTTGGCCCAACCCTGACATTGGGCTCGGGCTGGGCTAGGCTTCTGTAGGGCTGGGCCTGCGGGCCTGAGCCCTGGCCCTCCACATCACTAAAGACAACAGTCCGCCAGTATTTCATATCCCTGTTAAAGCGTTCTCTTGGGGGTTTCTAGCGAGCTGTAGGTGTACCTGTTCGATTGCGATTCCACGTTGACCTTTTAATATTTTATCAGGTCTTGTAGTTTTTCTGGGGCCAAACTACTGGCTGTTTCTTGTGGTGGCTGGCACAGTCGCCCTGCTATTTTCATGAAGGACGTACCAAGGATTGTCTTGACGGGTCGATTGGCTTTTATTCTGTGGTTCGGTATCGCGCTGATTTACATCCTACAATATCGTGATGGCCATTAGTCCAAGTGATGTTGGAATACGTTGTGCAAGTGCAAGTAGAATAACACGTAGTGTAATTACACCTTCAAAATTCTTGCCAGTTGACATCTGCTTATTCTTTTCACAGATACTTGTCTTTCTGTCTTTCCAGTCGATTACGACACTTCACTGGCTGTTCTGATCTCCTCGGATTATGTTGTCCTGGAACATGTGAGTGTTGGCTAATCAGACGATGTGCGTGTCAGGCTTGCAGAATCCTGCAAACGCCTTTTTCTCGCTGAATCAAAGTGCATACAATGTATGCACTACAGGTTGGCGTCAGAATAAAATAGGTAAATTAGCATGTTGGTTCATTGACGAATCTGTTACTTTTGTTGGTGGTGCCCCACGGCAACAAAGCATGTTGAAAGCATGTTCACTATTCCTATACTGGGTTAATGAGCGCTTTCTCAAGGCTATGTCAACTGCATTTACCAATGCACTTGGTTAGTCTCCGTCATACCCCGTGCTCCACGGCAACACAAACGGTGTTCAAAGCGTAGTCACTATTCCAATGCTTCGTACTCGATGACGATTCGTCAAGGCTGCGTCCACTGCCATTTCCAACCCTCCTGTAAGCTCTGACAGTGGATCCCACAATCTTTGCGTCTCCCAACAATGACATGCCCGTTTACCACCCACGAAGACCACTCAACAGACTGCCTATCCGCACAACACCCTCATCTATCACCTTCAGACGACTTCAAGTATAACGACTACAGCGACCTCACCGACCAATACACGGAGCCCTACTCAATCACTTCACGGCATCAGACCATTGCCCTTTTGACTCACCCATTGGGCAATTCTGATTCACAAGGCTACTCTTTCTCCGTGGACCAGAAAGGAGCCTATTCGGTTGATGATGATGCAGAGGAGGATGTTGAAATAGAACCCTCGAACCATGGCTACCCATCAGCGCTGAAGCAAGAGAAGACGGTTGACACCAGGAGTTGTTGGGCCAAAGTCAGTACTGCTGTTCACTGATACTGGTGGCTTTCGCTGACATTTGTCCAGATTTTTCCTGACTCTTGGCCATGTCGGCTGTTTGTCCTTACTGTGGTGATCGAGACTGCAGTGGATTTAGCCATCGAAGGCGACTTGCTCGTCCTATTAGCGGATTATTCCATGAAACTGGAAGTATATCTCAGCGTATTCGTGCTTGCTCAGTATGTGTCTAAACATCTCTTACGTCTCCATTTGAAACGATCCTGAAATTCAGCGTCTTCCAATTTATCACGGCAGTCGATGCAGTGTATGCACGCAATACCCTGCAATTTTTGTCTCTCGTGTGAGCTCATATCTTACTGCTTGCCTGCAGTAGCCTATTCCTCATGCTTGGTTTTCAGCATATTCAACCTTTTCTTCCTGTTATATGCCATCATTGAAATCATCGAAATCAAGAACTCGGTCACACCTTGGGCCACCACGTCGGCCGGGATCCTGCATGTACCACTGAACGTTCTCACTGACATGATACCTGTCGTCATATCCGCTGCGGAGATAGCATACATCGCTCTTGGTTGGAAAATTTACCAAGAATTCGGCTGGAAGGCGTATAAGTTTCTGGGCAGTGGCGATCGACGCATCCAGAAAATGTATGCCACGCACCAGATTTTCGAATGCCTTGTCAAGTTCAACGTCTTCTTTTGGGTCGGTTTCTGTGTGCAATTCATATGGCTAATCTCCCAGAATCACAACTGGGAGTACTACGTCACCTGGGCTGCTACCCCGACATCAATTCTCCTCCTCGTCATAGGCCACCTTGCCGCACGTTACGAGAAGAAGTGGATGATGGGAACGTTCATATTTGGAAGTATTGGTGCCCTAGCCTATTGCATATACAAAGTGAGCTATTTTTGGCAAATCTGCTGTACACTGGCAGAACTGGTGTCCTCACATGCTTCAGCTTTTCCGTGTTCTTCAGAACCGGGAGATGGAATACTATGCCTTGTACTGGAAATCGCTTACCACTTTTTGTGAGTTCTTAAATATATACCCTTCTTTCAGCCGCTCACGATACTGGTAGCTGCAATCACGATTGTCCTTCTCGTCATGATGATCGTTTTTTCGATCATCATGATGCGCAATTTTGGTGGAGGACTAAAGGAATCGAGTTTGTATTTTCTTCTTCTTTCGTAGTTTTGACTCATGCCCTGTGTGTGTGACAGTCGCAAGAAGTAAAAACCGCATACAGAGAGGTCGCTCCGAGCACTTGAATCGAGGACCGATGAGCACAAATCGAAATCGGATGACTCTCGATTGAAGGTGCGTGCCGTCACCCGTGTAAATCAAAGTCATGGACTTGCTGGTATTCTACAGCTATATACCATTCTTTCGAAATTCATGCAACTACAGTATCTCTAGAGTTCTTATGACCTTCATGTTGGATCGTGCAATCATATTGTGATTCGAAGCGATCCTCTTGTCCTTCCACCTCGCTGCTGTGCTAGAGAGGTGCACCAAAAGGCTATCCAAAGCGGACAATCACATCACAAAAATTGCTCAACTGAGATATTACCCGATTTAGACTGTTGTGCGCCACACGCTTGACATACCACTGTCTGGTCATTGTCAGCGACATTCCAGCCTGCTATGAAATACTCGGAGACATCTCACAATGAGTGCATCTGTATCTACACGACATATCTAAGATATTGCAAGATATTAACCAGCCCAAAATTATTGATCTCCATCTCGCATGATGCATGACCTGCAGGGTGTTCTAGTACACACAACGACGACACAGCACTGTGGTCTGATAATGGGGATGGGCAGCGCTCGGTCAATTTTAAACTCCGCCCGTGATTTGCTTCGCAGTGCGTAGAGTTGAAACAAGTGTCCAATAAAAAGATCGACTGACACTACACTACCACAACAATCTGACCGAAAGTTTGTATGGAGAAATATGCGTGGATTAACGAGACTTAGGTATTCTATGGGAAAAAAGTGTAAATGGTGCTGTCCTTGGGAGGATTACTCACTACAATGGCATGAAATGCACCGTTTTTTTTAGTTTTTTTTCATAGAATACAAGGATGGAGTAAAAAGAATACATTTCACCTAATTTTCGGGTGACGCGGGGGGTTGCACTGCTGGCAACCAGTCGATCTTTGAGCACAGTAATGAGTGCGCTGACTCAGCACAAAATGATGTGACACGATGCGTTTCGACACGTCAAGAAAAGGATTAACTGTCCAATGCAGCCCCGATACGTCAAAAGGGACTGCTATAACCCGGTAAAACGGCATTCCGCAACACAAAAGGCTCATCTTACATGCTTAAACTCTAGAACAACTGTTGAAAAGGAGAATAGTCCTCCTGCTGAGACCTGTACTAGTGCAAGGGACAGCAGTCCGAGTCCTGCAATCGTGGCGCACCTGCGAATTCAACTCGACACACAACGTCAGAAGACCAAGACATATGAGAGGCGTTACCACAGTGAGCGCAAGCGGGCCTTGTGAAAGGACAATGCTGCTGCATGTCTTCAGGAGCAGCTGCACTCTCTGCAAGCTTCAAGCTCTGATATTGCAGCAGGAGCTCAGGCGGCTGAGGCACAGCTTGCGGACACTCTACAAAGTGTCAATCGCCTCAAGAGTCGTAACAAGACACTCATGAAATGGAACTGTGCACTGACTATGCATGCAGCACGTGCATCTGCAGCGAAGCATCACGCCATCAAGAAGACACGCATTCACAGCACAGAGGCCACCACAAACTCATTTGCACTAAAGGAGAAAGGCATCTTCACAGACACTTCCCGTGCCATGGTGCGCAATATGGTTGCCACCCTAGATGTACCTATACGGAGTGTTAATGCCACCATCAATGCTGTGGCGGAGGCACTTGGTGTTGAGATCACTGGTTCTGTTAGTGGACACAGCATCCATCGAATAGTGGCCGAGGGAGGAGTGGCTGCTGAGGCTCAACTTGTTGACGAGATGAACATTGCAAAAGGTATAGAGGCTTACTGTGATTCGGAGAGAACAATTGTGTCTGAAAATTGCTAAACAGGAGTAACTTTGAGTGGAGATGCAACATTGCATAAAAACATCAATTATCAGAGCCATCACATCACTTACTTGTTGCCAGATGGTCATGCTGCAACTCAGTTTGCTGGTATCCTGCATGAGGTGAACCACAAGAGCAAAACACAGCTTCAGGGGTGGAAGTCACGTATTGAGGACATGTATGACACCTACAATGATGTCATTGGGAGTACAGCAGGTGCTCTGGATGTCCGTGACTTCCCATCCAAAGTGAAGGGGATGCTTACCGATCATGCAGAAGATCAGAAAAAGCTCGTTCGGCTCTTTACTGAATGGAAACGATCATGTGAGCGAGAAGTTCGAGGGGAGAGGGCCCTTGCCACCTTACCTCCAGATGATGTCGTACACCTCCTTTGGGAAATGACAGAATCCCTCGTAAATGAAGCAGGTGGGATAGATGGGTGGGATAGGCTTGGCGTTGATGAACAACAGAGCTGCTACTCCAATGCGCATCACAACCTGCTCGTACAAATTGGACAGGAGCAATTTGATTCACTTTCACAGTCCGAAAAGGATGACATCGACTTCTTCATTTGGGCTGGCTGTTGCATGCACAAAGAACTTAACGCTGCCAAAGGGGGAAATTCTCGTATGTGTGCCTGGTGGATAGACAATAGTGTCGAGGGTCCGGTTTTATTGATGAACAAGGACAACGTTGCAGCATCTTCTGCAGGCTTGTCAACTGCCAAGCAGCGTGCTATCCAGGTTTCGACAGGAGGTGCACAAAAAGTCCTGGAACTTGCGGGTGCAGTCTTCTGGCACAAAGATGACAAGAAGGGACAACAGGATTCACTGCGCTATTATTTCGAGGTCGAACCTGGCTACAGAATCCAATGGCCAGACACAAGCAACACACGGTATCATAGCCACGGTGATGCTGCGTGCAAGTATCTTGTAAATGACACACTTTACCTCACATTCCTTGAACTCATCCCCCTGAAAAAAGAAAGCCGGACATCCACCAATATCAAGTACAACGTCTACTGGGGTTTCACGTGCCTCAAAACCAAGCAGGAGATGATGTCTTGGGCAACATATAATCAATGTATTACCCACCCATACCTGCATACAATTTGGAACTCGACAGCCAACATCCTAGACCTTGGACCAATTCACATGAAGGTCATCTCGCACCTTAATCACATCATCAATGATATTGATCTAATTCTTGCACCTGATGCTACTTATGAGACATTGACACTCGACGGCAAGCCTTTCGAGCGCCCTGAAGCATTTTATGCTATTCAACGTCTTGCACTGGATTGCAAAACGTATCCTCACTTCCCTCAACTCCTGGTTGCCTTTTTCCAGGGGGCTCTCGACACATGGATTCGATTTTCTGCCGAGTTTGCAACTGGTGGAGCAATCAATAAGTCATCCCCTTCCCAATGACAGACGGCGCACATGAAAACCACCAATGATGACAATGAGGGTGCCCTTGGCACAATCCGCACATCCCTCTGCCATGCCCCACACATGTCATTATCGCATTTCAATTCTCATTTCATGTACAAGAAGAATCAGACGAGCACGTACATTGAAAATGTTCTGGATGTTAGTTCACGCCAGAAACTCCGCAAAAAGGCTTGTGAAAGGGATGAGAGTGGCGAGGAGCGTAAACGGCGGTTTGCGCAGGTTGAGTATGATAAAGAGGTGGTGCGGCAGCACCAGGAGCAAGATATCAAGAAATGAGCACGCCGTGATGCTGCAGGAGCAAAACTTGATGTGGTCGTCCCACATCTCACACTTGAAGATATCACAAAGCTTCGCACCCCAGAGATAGACCTGCAAATTTGTTGGCATCATCGATTTGACCCTGCAGTACCGGCAGCCAAACACATACCAACCACGAAACAGAAGAAGGTGGAAGTGCTGCTGGAGGCCGTCGGATGGTATTTGAGTGGTGAGGCAACCCCCGGTGGACATCCAATGTCTTTGCAGCTGCAAGCACTAGACAATAATACTGTTACATCCCACTTGCTGGAACTAGGGGATGGGGAGGGCGAAGCTGAGGATGAATGATGATTAATTTTCTTGCCAAGTTGTTTGATGTTACCTTATACAGCTGATATTATAATTTCTTCACACGTGTAGTTGTAATTGGCGTGCGCTAGTCATACTCTTGATACATTCTTGATACATTCTTGATATTTGCCATCACGTTCGGTAGCATTGTGCTTACATAATGTCACACTTTGTTTATGGGCGTTGCCCATCCCCACTGATAAAGTAAAAGTCAAATTTGCGTCTTCCGAATTCATCTAGTAACTGTGTACACACACTCAATTTTCTCTAAGTCCTTTGTTTGGTACCCTTTGGTGTGCAAAGTGCAAACTGTTGGCAACTTGGGGTTGTGTTGCCCCCAACAACTTGAACTCAAGCAGTTCCCCAACCAGGCCTCTCTTCTCCACTTATGCACTTCTCGCCAGTGGAAATGATTCAAGTGCTAGCGACTGTTGCCAAAAACCATGCAGAATGTCAAGGAGAAGGCATCAAAGTGGCAAGCGACGATCTCCTCACCTGACAGTGCGTCAGTTATCGAAAAGACCGTAACCGCTACCCTGGTACTTAGGGGTGCCTCCAAGTCAGGGATGAAGCTAACAGCACTGCCAAAAGATAAAAGCCAATCCTCATCGCTTGGCTTCTCAGTCGTAAAGCTCAACGTTGCAACCGTGACTGGCAAGAAGGGCAAGGGATGCCTCGATTGACATGCTCCCCCTAATTTTCAGGTCCACGGAGATCCAGAAGGTGATCATACATCCAGCGGCTCCAAATTGCCAGCGGCACCTAGCGGTGATGAACCAGAAAAAGCTAGCTTCAATACCCCGCTGAGGTCCTTGCGTGCTCCCGATGGGGATTTGCCCAAGATTACAGACTTTCTGGAAATGGTGAGCGCAAAGTTATATTTTTCTTTCTTATCAAACTCTGTTTTTGTGTTCACTTTAGCCGTATATTCCCCCATCCTTCCCATCACAGCTTGAAACTTTCTGCACAGTGTATCCGCATTTATTGCCTGAGGGTGAGTATATGCGTGCTGCTTCCACTCTCTTCCATGGCTATGCGACTCCATTTTCCCCAGGGGGCTTGCTACTACGAAGTGGACCGGGTTATTGGTCCATTGGCCTTGCTTTTGACCAGCATTACTGATTCTTATACTCCCATTCATCCCCTCCATGCATCATTCTACGACTTCTTCGTTGATATGTCGTCGGTGCAAAACAAGCTTACCTTCGCCTCGCTTCGGGTGATGGAGCATGGACTTCGCTTCAACATCTGCCTTTAGAGAACTCGTACTTGCCCAACTCTTCCATCCCTGACTTGGAGAAACAGATAAAAGACTCCATTCCGACTGAGCTATCATACTCATGTTGGTTCTGGGGGACTCACATCGGCGCTACATCCAATTCAAACCATCACTTGCCAAGGAAGTTGAAGCTTTCTTCCATGGAGAGTGCCTCTTTTGATGGTTAGAAGTGTTGGCTTCGATGAAAGGCCTCAGCAGACCAGCGCAGTCCCTCCCGTCTATCACAGAACAGCTTAAGGTGCATTTCTCAAGTTTGTTATTCGCCCAATAGATTCTTACCAATAGCGATCTCCTTTGCTCTCCAACTGTATTGCAGGACTTGGCGCAAGGTTTGTCTTCCATAATGCACTCAACTTGCATATGAATGAAACAGGTTCGCTGACATTTCAGATATTGTTGCGCATGGTCCGCACAATGTCGCAGATATTTTCTGTGAGAATGCTAAGGTCTGTGGTTGTGTGCGTGAGCGAGTTCTGCTGATCTAATTGAATGAATAGGAGATGCCATCCCTCGACACTCTTCATGCTATCATCACCTTGGCATGGATGGAATACAAAACCGGTCGGCTTCTTGATAGGCACCAGGAATGTGAGTATATCAGCTTATATGCTGCATATATGCACATATACTGTGTACTGATATATAGTCACATCAGCAGAAGACGTTCGGACGACTCAACACGCTTCAAGGTTCGAAGACTCCATCGCTCTGGATTCAGTGACCGCTTCTTGAATCACCGCATTTTCAATTGAACTGTGCTTCACTTCGGCATCGACTCTCATAGACTATTATTCTCATGCTGGGACTTCCGCTGACGTGCTCTCATTGTTACCTCTGTCACCTCCAGACATTTCTTTCCATGCATTGTCCCAGTATTCTCTCATTCAGTCATATCCTGCTAGTGCACCAGGTTCCTTACATTGCAGTGCTTTAGAATACTTTGTACTCTCTCAATGACACTCAATATCAGACTTTAACTGGCTATCTCTGTGTGATTTGCAATATCTGAATAATCTAATTGAGATAAGAATATCATCGCCTGGAACACATCGTACATGCCCCGTCCATTGTAAACTTCAGGTTCTAGGTCTGCTCAGACATACCTAACCCTAACCCTGACATTGCTGACAGTTTCGACAGCGCAGATATATCTATGTATGACAATGTCAGAGCTGAGCAATTTTTGTGATGCAACTTAAACACTCGTGAGTGAGGCTCTGAATCAGCCTGATCAGCATCTTCAGGATACCTGCTGAGCGATTCGTCCGATGGAGACTCGGGTGACCAATCCTCCATGCTCTGTGTCTCGTCCGCGAGGTCAGGCAGCTACAGGTCATAACGATCCCACAGACGAACAAGCAAGAATGGCTGCTGTGTAGACTTTGCCCGCAAGAATTTGATGAGGTTGCCTACTATGGTAATTGACACGGGCATGGTGAACACAGGCCAGCAAAGACTAGACTTGTGACCAGTCCTACCTATGAGGCAAGCCGTCGATAGATGGACTGGTAAAACTGGCTTTGAATTTGGATGCTGAGCGGATTCCCAGGGTAATGTGATGGATAATCCTTTTTGGAGATATCAGAGACCATGTGAACCTTTGCTAAGTTTTCGCTAAGTCGCATACTTGGAGATTCCTATCAACATTCAACTAGCAGTGCTAGCTGCTCAACAGTGCCTTCGTTCATCACCATTGCCTCATGTAACAAATGCTACTTGCTCTTTGTGCTATATTTGATGTCCTCTTCAATTCTAAACAGCAACTTTAACCGCTCTGTGGACTCCGGGTTTGTGGATATCACAGGTGATCCTCCATCAAGCACCTCTTTCACGGATCCTATGATCACATCTTCCTCACGCCTCTCGTCAATGGAGCGCATCAAAGCTGCCGTCAAAATCCTCTGAGATGGCTGTATTAGTATCCTCGACACCAACCCCAACATTTTCAATGCCGCGGACGACGCTCTTGGCGATATACATCATGTCTTTTCCCAGTCTTCTTCACCACCTTCCTCAATGTTCATCTGGACCGATTCTCCAGAGCCAGTTTCGGTTCCCGCATATCCACGTCTTTCACCTTCAGTGCGCAAATGTCTTCCTACGGGACGCCCCTCTCACTGTCGTTAGCACAACTATCCTTTGCCAGCCCGTCCTTATGTATCGTCCTCACCTGTTGAGCATCTCACTACCTGCTCTGCGGCAAGTGCTCCAGCCATGACGATGATTGCTATTGCTGACCAGATTATGAATATCGTACATGAACCATTTCTATTTCTTATCTGATGCGGGCATGATGGTAAGTTTAATTTTTGGTTCTCATTTGACTTTTTTGTGGGGCCCACATTTGTCATTCCAACAGACAGCATCATCGCAATTGTGTACCCCTTAGCATACTGGTACTTTTCCACCTTCAGTACACCCTTCTGGCATGCTTACCTCCTTTTAGAATGGTATATCATTGCAGAGCTTTAGTCTCAGAGTGAGAGACCCTAGCTCAATGTGTCTCAGAATGCCCCGACAAAGGCAGAAGACAAGGCACTCTAGCTAGAGGGTGTACATGTCAAGGACATTTCCCTCATCATCAAAGAACGCATGGGTGGCCTTCGTTGTATGGATGTTGTGCAGTTAAGTGGGTTTGTTTTCCAGTTGTTCGATCTACAGTTTCGTTTATTAGATGTTTAAATTACTACTCTCTTCTAGTTAACACTTAAAATTCCTTAATTCTCCTTGTCATTGAAGCGAATCAGCTAACAATTCCCCGCACATAGCTTGCCCCTACACTTACTTTCAATGCATCTAATTCTGGTGGAACAGCCCCAGACACATTCACACCTACCCCAGCCTATTCAAGTCTTTGCAAAGTACGTTGTCGCCATATCATCTGATTGTGGTGCTTTTTCTTTTGCATTTCTGGATGTGTACACTTCTAAAGCAAAGGTTCTCAGTACTAATGAGCCATTCAAGTCAGCTGACGGATACATTCATGGGCGTCCAAAGGCGTTCAACTTTCTTTAGCTCCTCCCAGGAGTGCTGCTACAGTGCCTGCAGATAGCAATGAAGCGCATATATCCATGTGGCTTCAGGGATGTGCTGACAAGCTTCGCCAGATGTACATGTCAATTTTTGATGCCCACATCACTTGTGTCTGCTCTTTTGCATGTGTCACTCCTGGATTGCATGTGCGTGTGCACCAGATCTAGGTGCTGTTGTAGGCACGGTTCAATACGAATCATGTTTGTTGCTAGTTTATACTCATATTACGATTCACAACATGCCTTTCCTTAGACTATCGAGTGTTGCTCGTGCGGCATGTAAGTGAAATGGCGGTCTGCTATTGAGTTCAAACTTGCCCAAGCCCTACTCGCACCTCCGATCTTCAAGTTCACAGTGATCCCAGAAGAACCCATGTTATCATAGTCTGTGACTGCATTGCAATAAATCTATGCACTACATGGCAATGTGCCACTTCAGAGGATAGTGTCATTGGCAAACGAGAGGCAATGGACAAACGGTCTAAGGTGTGTACTACGAGAGGCCGTTTCTATGGATCGATGGCATTTCTGATGAGGCAAGTTGCCTGTATGTGTTGAGTATTTGGGCGCCAGCCCAAAGGGCTGATCCGGCCCGAAACATGGGTTTGAACCTATGTATTAAGGTGAGCTGTGTTCCCGAATTTCAGGAGTGCAGCGACGCATGCAGCGCAGCTTGATTCCTTTTTGACAGGAGATGTGCTACTCACCGCTTAAATATGTTTATCGAACAGGTGGCATTGTGTACCTGGTGAACGGTTCAAGACTTGGCGAGGCTTGTATGTATGGCGCTAGGATGAGGGTGTGGTCGTGCAAGTATATCATGAACGCCTCACTTGACCATTGTCCCATTGATTTGACCATGTCGAAAGGTACGCCTCTCAGCAGGTACTCTAGAGTACCTCCTATGTGCAGGCTATGCCCTTTTAAATCAGGTAGACCGGCTGCTGTTGTAGCGCTTGCCATCCTTTTAGAGAATTCCTTCTTCGATAGCGGTCTAAGTCCCTTGGGGTGTCTCCATGCGAACAGGTGCACTTTATTGTTGGCCGGGTTGACATGGAGGTGGTTCTCTAGCGCTGATTTGGGATCTGTAGGGCCGTCTTGTCTGGCCCAAAAGGTCTCTTCTCCCTCATTCTTAGCTGATTTTGTGTAGGGTAAGTGGAATTTCGTAACTGGTCTGCCTTCGCGGTCTTGCGCTTCTGAGACGTCTCCTCTCATCAGTAAAACACCGAATCTATTTTTGATTCTGAATTTATATTTATTCTCATTTATTTGGGTTTGACCGGGTTTGAGGAACTGTTCACACATGACAGAAAAATTTGAGAAAAAGGCCACTTGCCCTCTTAATTCTACTTTGCCACTCTTGGAAAGTCACTTATCAGGTATTGACTGGGGAAAACAGTGGTAATAATAGAGTGAATGAACCACATTGCTAAACGGCAAAGTACGAAAAAGTGGTGAAAATAGAATAAACGATGCGAGCAAAGTACGACAAATAGTGAAAAAAGTGACGATCGAGCAGAACGTAAAATGTGTGTAAATGAAGATAAGGGGATTAAAGAGGGATGGCGGAATAGTGAGCAAAATGCGATGGTACAAAGAGGTGAAGACAGCATGATTTGAAAACTTGAAGCAGCATGAAATTGTGATCTAGAATGATGTTAGTTCATTGATAAGGAATAAAATAAAATAAATCTATTACCATAGCATACTGTGTTTGTCGACGTCAGATTCTTCCTCGTCATTGAGGTGAAGGTACTTCTGGAGGCTAGCACTGCCCGACTTCTTCAATAATTTCCGGGCCATCAATGATGTGTCCCTCAGAAAAATATCCCCCTTTTTCTTGATACTAATCACATATGAGGTAGTCACTGACCCCCAGTTATTGATAGAGAAGGCGTGCTCAGTGATGCTGTGATTGCCAGTGGCCTCATTGAATGTCTTCGGCATCCACAGCTTGCGCTTCCGTTGTGTGGGATGCATATCGAGGGCATCCGAATCAATGTCAATGGCACCGTCGCTGAGGCACTTAATGGCACACTTGAGCTGTTAACAAAATACAAACCGTCAGTCATGTTTCTCATATGTCTACAGTACTTACTGAAGCTGCACAAATGCCGAGAACGCCAGCCATGCCAATGGAAGCCAACACATCCGTTTTGAGCGCGGTGATGTGAGTGTGCCAGATAATGCTATGAAGATGAGCAGTAGTGAAGAGTTGTAACATGAATGGAGAGCGGAATGCCTGCATTGGATCCATGTTGTCCATGTCCTCGAAAATAAAAGCGAAGTTGTCCAGAAGTGCTTTGCCAAGCACTTTCACATCAGTGTCCTTGTTCCGAGCAAAGAAATCAATCATTATAGCAAGTCCTGTTGAACCAAAATTGCTGCGCCACTCTGCTAGACGTTGTGTGGCCTGATTCAAATTGCAACCAGCCAGTTAGTAATAGTGATGCAAAAAAAATATTATGGGACCTACAACACCAAAAACAGAACCTTGACCGTTTACCTTGTACTGGAGATCCGAATCGTCATACACGACATCCATAATACATTGAAGCGCTTCAATGAGAGAAGCGTCTGATATTTGCCAGAGGTCATCTTGACTACCAGCCCACAAATAAAGAGTTGGGAGGAAGTGCTTGGACCATTGCTGATCCTGACATTGAGGGGGAAGATCGAAGTTTCAATAAGTTGAATGTGACTTGTACCCCCTCTCAATCCAGTAACTGGGCAATGCCACAAGTGATTTTGGTACAGTATCATTGGCCCCGTCCTCAATTTTAATCTTCTTTGCGGGTGGCTGCAGTGTAGTAGATGGCTTGGAGATGCCAATGGAAGTCTGTTGCAAGAATATGAGTAGCTAGCTGTCGTTAAAAAATGAACTTACGGAAGACGTCAAATGTACAGCCTTCTTTGCTGTCTTGGAGCCCGTAGGCTTTGTTAGACGAGGATCCACATTGAGAGCCCCAATATCATCATCTTTGTCTGAGGAATCCTTAGAGGCTGGGGCAGGGTGTTTGGTGTCCACAGTGTTGTGCTTCTGGTTCTTGGAGCAGCAAAATGTCAAACTGCTCAGGCCATCACTGATGTCCTGAGTCTTGTAGGCCCCATCGTCCTCGACATCCATTCTCGCGTCATCTTCTGCATTGTCGTCTGCATCTGTTGGTGCATTGTCATCCGCACCCGTTGGCGCATTGTCATCTGCATCTGTGGGCACATCGTCGTCTGCATCTGTTGGTGCATCAATCTCAGCGTTGTCCTTGATGGCCCCCATTGGGAGCGATCCATCCTCAGTCAGCTCAGTAGCCACATTGGTAATCTGTAGCGTCCACTTGCTGCATTAGAATTAATGTTATTTATCAGCCCACCACGCACCTTAACTGCAGATGCCTTTGGGATAGTATTCAGGCATTCCTCTGAACAAATAAGCTTGTCGCCAAAATCACCAACAAGAACCTGAGAAGTATCAGTGACAACAGGTGTATGTGCTAGAACAGGTGGGGTTTTACACCGGCCAAAGCTGGTCGTTACATCTGATACAGATGTACAATGGGAACCAGATAAGATGGTACTTGGTGGCCCATGCGCTAATGATAATGCTGAGGCCGCAGTATGAGACTGGGAAGCACTTGACAGAGGCTGATCAGTTGAGTCTGGTGCAACATCTGTAATCCAACCCTGGACACAGCTTGCTAATGAAAACTTGGACTTAGTCCTGAAATTTGAGGTCAAGTTGAGAAAGAGAAGCGTTGATTCGGTAAGCATCAACATCATGGTTGTGAGAGAAGTTTGGATGCACATCAACTTTCCTTTCTTGTCTTCAACACATGCCCCTGACTGCCTCACTTGAGGCGCAGCCTTGATAACGTCCTTCTCAGTCTTCTTCTTTGTTTTGATTCTGTCGTCCTTCTGATGTCCTCCATCTTTATCCTCAACAATACCATCCTCACCTGGGCCAACATCACTTAGCATTTGTGACATGCTCTCACCAGCAGCTCCTGCTCCCAGGAGTTTCTTATCTGCTTGAGGAGCAGGTGTCGACTTTTTCTTGACAGGGCGAGTGTGGGGTCTTACTGCCTTTGACTTCTTTGTCGTGCTTTGCACCTCTGCCTTCTTCATCTCCTCCTGCATAGCAGCAAGCCGCTGCAATCCTTCAACTGCAGCCAGCTCTTGAGCTTCGCGGGTCTCCTGGATGTTCTTTTTCTTCTTGGTCTTTGGGCACTTTGGTTTTGGTTCCTTGCACTGGCAGGTCGGGTAAGCCTGGGTGCTTGTACATATTTCTTGGGCGAGTGTGACGCGGCTCATTCATATCAGCCATTACTGATGAGTAGCAAATTCCAACAGATACTGCAGCACGCCAGAGATAGGCGGAGAAAAGTATAAGGACTCGGAACTGTGGGTGGTTGGAGTTGAACGTTGAACTTTGGGCTGTTGGTGAAAATTTGTAAGTTCTCATACTAGCCTTAACCAAATAAACGCCCCATTCCATTACTAGTGTCAGACCATCTCCGTCCCAAGTGGGCATGCACACATGCAAATCGTTTGTTATTCTAGGCGAGTGTTTGTCATTATTCACATATTTTATTTTATATTCACCTGATATTACAGACTAGATGTCAACGAGAACCAGCAGATCCCCAGAGATAGTGCTATCCTATCCATCCTACCAATGTGAAGGTGCATGAATTTTTCTTTCAATTGAGTACATAAACTTAAGTATTTGAACGCTAGTTACTGCAATGCCTGGCGATATTCCTTGTACTCAGTTCTGTCGACGAGACTTCAGCACACTTCAACTTCAATGTGGAAGTTGCGCATGGTGGTTCAAAACTATTGCTGGCTGAACGAAACACTGTCTTGTTGCACACCCTGTTGAACATGCTGGTAACAATGTGGATGAAGGACATATGGACCAATTTCAAATGGATGTCGACAAAGCATGCACTGACTATGATGTCAACATGGACAATCCCCCGCGTCAACAATCCCCTCAGCCAAACATACACACAGAGTTTTTTGGGCCCGGCAATCATCTGTATAGGAACTATCACATGGGTCTCGATGGTACATACATTTGCCAGCTATTTCTATCTTATTTTTCACCGAACACAATTATAGGCAGACCATGTAATGCAGATGGTATATATCTTCCCCCTGGTGCTCCCCCTCCTCCTCCTGAGAATGTAGCCTTGAATGACTGGACACCCTTTCGTAATCACGCAGAGTTTGAAACAGCAGAGTTCTTGTACAAGCAAAATCAGATGCTGGCTGATTAGATCAACCGACTGTTGGACTTATGGGCATCTACCCTCGCAAAGCACAACGACAAGCCACCATTTGCAGATCATCGTGATCTTTATGAGGTCATTGATAGTTCGCCATTTGGAGATGTAAAATGGCAATGTTTCACAGTAGCCTATGATGGTGAGAGACCCAAGAATCCAAAGCCCTGGATGGACAATAAGTATGATGTGTGGTTCCGTGACCCACATGAAGTTGTACACGATATGCTTGCCAATCTGACATACGCTAATGAATTCGACTACCGCCCATATCAAGAATACTCCACGGAGAACGATAAGCGCCAGTGGAAAGATTTTATGTCAGGCGATTGGGCCTGGGACCAGGCGGTAAGTATTTATCTCTCCTTTGATAATGACAGCTCAGTCTGTGTCTAGGACAATATCGCTAAAGATCCGAACACAATTGGTTCAACATTCATCCCTATCATCCTCGGTAGCGACAAAACAACTGTTTCGGTCAGTACAGGGAATAACGAGTATTACCTGCTTTATGCATCAATCGGGAATATTCACAACAATGTTCAACAAGCCCATCGTGATGGACTGGCGATCATTGGGTTTCTCGCTATGCCAAAAAGTACATCACAGCACGAAGTCTTCTAGTGTATACTGACACATTTATCATCACAACACATTCATCCACTCTCCACCCATGCCCACACGTACAGCCACAAAAGAACATGCTGACGAGCCAGCCTTCCAAAATTTTCATCGACAATTATTTCACTCATCACTCTCAAAGGTTCTCAGTTCACTCAAACCAGGCATGACAACACCCGAAGTCACACGTTTTGGAGACAGACACTACAGGCGGGTTGTTTATGGACTAGGACCTTACATCGCAGACTATGAGGAGCAAGTACTATTAACATGTATCATTCGCGGTCGGTGTCCTAAGTATGTATCTATCATTTGTATGCTTATTTACCTTGTAACTAATACCTTTACAGATGTATGGCACCTCATGCTAATCTCGATCAAGACACACTGTGTCGTTGTCGTGACTACGTGGAGGCACTTATTCAAGAAGGTCCCTTAGGTGATTTGTGGAATGATGCAGGGATAGTCCCGGAACTCGTAGTACGTCAATCAGCACGCTTTTCGCAGGTCATCAATACTAATGATTTCATGTTAACAGCCATTCACGAATGACTTCCCCCGAGCTGATATATATCAGATGATTTCACCCGATATCCTCCATCAACTCATCAAAGGGGCCTTCAAGGACCACCTTGTTGAATGGGTTGAAAAATACCTTAGATAGGTTCATCTGAAACGACGCGCAGAGCAAATTTTAGATGATATCAATCACAGGTAAGCTCGTCTGGTGTTTATATTACATATAATTCCTCATTGTACCTTAGAATTGCCACTGTGGGCTCATTTTCAGGCTTGCAGCGATTCCCTCAGGGACGTGGCTTCAAGCAATGGGCGGGAGATGATTCCAGGGCCCTGATGAAGGTAATTTGTTTATTTTCAGTCTTGCCATCACCATAGAACTTATTGATTCAACAGGTCTATTTACCCACCATTGAGGGTCATGTACCTACCAATATTGTGCATGCCTTCCGCGCACTTCTCGAATTTTGTTACCTCGTTTGCCACAATATCATCACAGATGATGCCCTAGTCGAGATCGAAGATGCACTCTCACACTTTCATCAATACCGCGAAATCTTCAAGACATCAGGCGCTATTCCCACCTTATCATTACCTTGTCAACATTCACTCAAGCACTATATACAAAATATATGACTGTTTGCTGCGCCCAATGGCCTCTGCTTGTCAATTACCGAGAACAAGCATATCAAATTGGTCAAAGAGCCTTGGAGACGATCAAGCCGTTATAATGCACTTGGTCAAATGTTATTGATCAATCAATGGCTCGACAAACTTTCAGCAATGTGAGTCGAATTCACACATCAAGGGATGTTAACTGGCACTTGCCTCTCAGCAGCCATGAACACCTTAAGTAAGTCATTTGTTTTATACTAGTATGCGATGTCCCAAACACTCATGTACATAACAGTTCCTGCACAACAGATCAACGAACTGGATGAAGACGCAGCAGCAGCAACAGCAACAGCAGCAGTAACAGCAGCAGCAACAGCAGCAGCAGCAACAACAGCAACAGCAGCAGCCGCATTTGTGCCTGCACCAGCTGCACCTTTGCGAATCAGCATTGACGGGGACCTCGAAATTGATGACGGACCAACCATTTTACAAGCCTTTGTGCAGCTGGTGAAAACGCCCCGTAATTTTTTTTTTCATTTTTCTTCATCTTTCAATATTCTAACATGCTGTACAGAGGGGAAAAAGTGCGCTCAAACTGTTCCTGTGCTTGCTGAAGAACTCCAGATACCTCGCCTTCCTGACCTCCTTGGACACTTTTTGTTCCAACAATTACATCCTGACGATGACCACGACCCATCTGACATACCCCTCGCGGAATGTCCTCACTATCTCAACAAAATCTCGGTTTTCAATTCAGCCTCATCACGCTTCTATGTGCCCAGTGATTTGAGCAGTGTTGGTCGCATGCGCATTGAGCACATCCGCTCTTGTCCATCCTGGCGCAACAAACACTCGCACCATGATTGTGTCTTTGTAAACATGGACTCCGGTTTACCTGGCATATGAGGCCTCGAGGTTGCCCGAATTCGCGCTTTTTCTCATTCAGCTACCAGAGTGACGTGTATCCGTGTGCTGTGATACAATGGTTCGATAAAGTCAGTGATGCTGCAGATGAAGACATGGGAATGTGGATTGTTAGTCCTGCAGCTACTGGTGCATCTAAGCACGCTGTCATTCACATCGATGCTATCTATCGTGCTGCACATCTTATTCCCGTGTATGGCACGGAGTTTTTTCCTCGGGGACTCAAACATTACGACTCATATGATGCATTTCAAGCTTACTATGTGAACAAGTATGCTGACCACCATGCATTTGAGATTGCATTTTGATATCACTTTGCTTACCATAGCTATTGTACACAATTTGAATGTATACTACCATTTTCTTTCTGAACATGTATTATTTCTCCTTTGCACACCAAACTCTCTTAGCCACTCTGTGGCGCCTTTGAGAAAAATGACTTATCACTCCTTAGATTGATTTTCGCACCTTGGCACTGGTGCCAAGGCGAAGAAAGTGAGATAATAGCAGAAAATGATTCTGAGGTTTTACTGATGCTGGTGATGTGCTTCTTCGGATTGAAGTCTCTGATTGCTCCTACTGTGAATTCTCCTAGTCTCATGATGCAGTAGAAAGTGGTTGTTAAACAGGCGAAAATAGCTGCATCTAGCAGAGTGTTTAGATCGAGATAGTTACGAATATTGGCAATGAAGTCTATGGTTGTAGGGGTTCTTTTGGGAAGCTTAGATGATACTGGGGCACATGCTGCCGCTCTGTCTAGAATGGACTTCAGTTCGCAAGGGTCGATCTTCCATGCTCTGCCGTGAAGCAAATGCCAGGCTTTCAAGGCTGCTACATAGTTGGACAGCGCTGAACTGGAATAGGATCCCGCACAGCTCGAAAGGAACTCGGGCAGCAGGTTTGGAGCGATGGGGCAGCATTTGTCTTCCTCTATGTTTAGCATGTCGCAGTACACATGAAACACGAGGAGCCCGCCACTGTAGGCCTCTTTCGTGGATTGTGCCCATGAGGAACCCATTACTTCGAGAATCCGATCCAACTGCTTGTCTGTTACTGTGTGTTCTAGTGCATCTGATGCTGATGCCACTGTTTGTCTGGTGCTCTCTCCTGCTGGAGACCATAAGTGTAGCCTGTCTCGAGCGAGGCAGTGCGGTCAGAGGGATGAAGGGTTTGGTGTGAGATCTGGATGATAGGCCTGGGGGTTTGCAGCTGGAGTACCTGCCTTTGGTAGTGGCACTCCGAACCAACAGGCCTTCATTGAGTCATTCATCGTGGAGGGCACTACTAATGAGATGGTCTTCCTCGACACGAGAGGCTGCAATTCTTTCTGCGGCTTGCTGGTGAACAAGGGCGTGGTTAATGAGTTCAGCTGCTGGGGCGGAGTAGTTTCCACTGTGTAAGTGGTGGATTTTGGCTGGGGATAGAGGTTTGGTTGCATTGATGACGAAAGGGCAAATGTCGGTTGGAATGGGGATTGGTGGAAGAAGAAGTTCAGTTGGGCCGTAGATGCCTCTAGATGGGCCGTCCACTGGATTGAATTCACTGGCAACATAGGTTGTAGCAATTTCAAAATGGCAGGGTAGGTTGTGTATGAAATTCTGGATTTGTCGAAAGACGACATTGACTTCGGCATTGCGGTGTTGGTTCTTCCACCATCCTTCAATGACTCCCATATTATCTCCATGGACGAGGAGGCAGCTGCTAAGGTTAGGCTGAGTGGCGAGAGCATATACAAGGAGCTTGAATCCCACTGCCTCTGCCCATCCGATGTCACATTTACCATTGAGTGTTTTCCAACCCAGTATAAGTCTCCACGCTCGCCAATGATTTCCGATGACAATCCCTATACCAATGCCCGAGCTTGCGTCTGAAAACGCCCAAGGGTCTGCAAGTGGAACTGTGGGATATATCGGCCTAGATACTCCTCCCGATTGTAGTAGTAGTGACCACCAGTCTAATTCGTCAGTAATACTTTTTGAGGCTCTATGGGGGAGGAAAGGATTGGTTCCACACAACAACAGCATTCCTTCGAGCCCAGTTAAATAAGCTTTGCCTCGAGGTACAGCGGCACACATGTGCAGTAACTTTCCATATAGCTCTTGTATGTCTTGTAAGACATGTAGCGGGCGCTTTCTCCATTTGTGAATTGCTGCGAGGTATTTGTCAACCTTCGCTGTACTTAAGGATACGAACATTATTTTTAAGTCCCACAGGAAACCAATGTAAATGGTCGAGGACCGGAATGGTTGATCCTTTAGAAGTTCCCAAATTATTCCTAGTTTGATGGATAGATCATTGATGTCTTGCAGACAGAAGGTGAAGAGTTCGTTGTGTTCGGACTGCGATGACACTTTTGATAGGTCTTTAAGGGGGGATATGCAGTTCTCACTGAATTCTTCCATTTGACTGCTGTCTGGACATTGAGTCCCATACCATAACCTTCCCCCGGACTGATTTATTCCAGATTGCGTGAAGGTTTGGTTCCAAGTGAGACACTGCTGGTTGTATGTGGGCAGGTGTTCTTGATGGATCCTGAAAAATACGTGGTCATCGACCCATTTGTCGAGAGGACCGATACCATGGTAACGAAAGATCTCAGCACCTGCATTGGCGACATGTCTGTAAACGCCCGCTGATGGTGTAGCTCCACATCAGGAAAATGTGGTAAGGCTATATAGCCACCCATAGCGCTATAGACTGCTATACAGACTCCATAGCCCTATAGCTCGTATAGCCAAGTGCCCAATTGTGCAGGCTTACTACACCAGTGTATAGTGCTATATAGTTCTATTAAAGTTGCTATAGCTGGGTGGAACATACCACAACTATTGTAGCTATTATAGCTCAAAACACAAAGCAAAAATTTCTCTTAATAGCTGTTTGTTGCCATGATAGTGTTCTCAAAATTAAAAAAAAGCGAAAATTCCAAATTATATTTCAACTACTACAATACATGTAAACTAATAACTAAAAAACAGGCAAAAATGCGAAAATTACAGGAGGAAGAGGCAAGAGAACTAGAAGGAAGAATCAGAGAGGAAAGATGAATACAAAAAAAAGAAAGACTTACCAAATAGTGAAAATTGCGAAAATTCTTGAGGGAAGAGGAGGGAAGGGAGCTAGAAGGAGAGGATCAGACAGGAGGAAGTGAGAGTCAGAGAAAAGACTTGCCAAATGGTCAAAAATGCGAAAATAGTTGGGGGGAGGAGGAGCAGGAGGGAAGAGAGCTAGAAGGAGAGGGTTAGAAAAAAGATTAGTCAAATAGTCAAAATGCGAAAATTATGGAGGGAGACTTACCAGAGTTCAAAGCACCAGCACCAGTACCAGCACCAACAACATCAACACCAAGAGAAGGATAGAGAAGCAAGAAGAAGAGAAGAGAGGCAAAAACTCGAAAATTGTAAGAAAAATATGGAAGATAATCTAATGAGGGGGCAGTGGGGGGGGAAGGAAAGAATGGGAAAAGACTTGTTGGTTGACCGCATTTTTGCTTACATAAGCAGTGCCAAACAAAGCCACAACACAAGACTTGGTGAATTTTCGAGTTTTTGGTTAATAGGACTAGGATTATGACAGTAAGAAAAAGACAATGAAATTGACTGTTAGCATTAGGATTTTGAATACACATAAGGTGAATTTTCGCATTTTTGCTTACATAAATAAGGTGTACCTTAACACTTTTGAACCCTTCAATTCCAAGTATTTTCCTTATAACTCACTAAGATCTTGACCTATTGAAGTCATTAGACTATGGATAGACTTCCCTTGACAAGGACTACAACTTTGATTTAATCGAAAAAAGTTCCCATGGTCAAGTTGCTTTCTTGAACCCTTCAATTTTGAGTATTTTCCTTATAACTCACTAGGATCTTAACCTATTGAAGTCATAAGACTATGGATAGACTTCCCTAGACAAGGACTACAACTTTGGTTTTCATCGAAAAAAGTTCCCACGGTCTACTGGGGTCTATAGTTGTTGAAATGTTTTACTTCTAAATACACTTACCAAACTTTATGGTAATATATAGACTTTCATGATGTCTATACTGGTCTATAGTGCTGTGATAGCTTGCCATAGACTGTATAGAGCTGTGGTGTGCTATCGGGGCTATATAGAGGATGGTCCTCTATATAGAGATATAGTTTTTCCTGATGCAAACACCATGCAGGTGTCTACACAGAAAAGCATATCCAATATTCTAACTACACCTGCCGGCCATTGTGAATGGTGTAAGGGTACTGTGCAATAGGCTTTGGCTATGTCTCTTGTGGCGGCTTCTGACCCTGGGGGTAGTCTCGATATCAATTGATACCATCAATATGTGAATTTATGGATGGATTGGGGTGATAAGCGCTGGTATCCTGTGGGAAAGAGAAATTTTGTATGATTCTGAACTTTCTGGGTTTGCCAGGTTTAGGAATAATGGAGAGCGGGGATGATTGGAAGGGTCCTATCAATGTTTCTAGAACATCCGCTGTGAACGGGCCTATGTACCTTCCTTTCTCGAGTTCCTTCTGAATGATGCTATTGAATTCAGCTGTGTACTCGTTAATAGATGCTTTGTTCAGGGGTGTTTGTACAGATGTGATAGCTGGAAAGTCTATATGGAAACCGGATCGGAATCTGACTGGTATTTTAGCGAAGTGCTCGAGAATTCCTGCTCTTTGCAACTCATGTTCCCAGGCATTTGCTCTATATGGCATCAGCGGATGAAGCTTTCTGTGCTCGAGGGCACCTCTGGGCTCCATGCAAGGTGGCTCCACATCTGGAACAGATATGACGTGCATCATGCTTGGGGATGGTACAACCTTCTTCCCTTTGCCATGCTGTACATAGTTGTTTACTGTCTTTGGACCACAGGGCTTTGCAGATGCGCTCCGCGAAGGTGTCAAACTGTTTGTCCCAGGTCTGCATGGTGGCGCACTCGATGGTACAGTGCAGGTTATGTCCCAGGCATACTGCGCAACATGGGAGGGGGCCCAAAGGAGGAGCACAAGCAATGTGTACCTTCTTGTTGCTCCCTGCCGCCTCCTCTGTCATTGGTAACGAACATTTCGTAGACGCCCCCCCAGGTTGTTGCTGGCGGAGCGACTCAAAGTTGTTTGCAACAAAGGTTGCTGCTGCTTGCTTGTGACGACTCTCAACAATTATAGTCTCAAGCAATCAGACCAGGACTCAAACAACAAACAAAGAGAGGAGAGAGAGAGTCACGACGATGGCCACTAAGGACAAGTGTCTGAAGAGGTTAAGTCTAGAGCTCACACGGAGGGAAAGGGAGCGATAGACGTCAAGTAGATTCTCTACGGAAAGTACAAGAGGTTTAGACTAAAGAACTACAGACTACCAACTAGGGTTTATATACTACGAGAACAGTGCACAGACCAAGACAGAAAAGGTAATCACTAAATAGGAAGGCGAGAATAGAAGCTTCAGGCGTAAGGGTTCGGATCATAGGTTCTGATAAGAGATCATATCTGAATAGAAGAGAAGAGACGGAGATTAAATAGAAGATCTATCTTAGATAGAGATCCAAGATCCAATGGGTGTCGTGATAGGAAGTGCTATGGTTCTAGCTTGTGGAGTGGGGGAGTCATCAAATGGAAGATCGATCGTTACATTGATCGGCAATGGAATCGGTGATGTGAAGGGTTGCAATATGGGCATAGGGTACTGGCGCTTCTGTGACAGGTGATCAGAATGCAGGGTGATATATGTGACGGGTGTGAAGGGTTGAAGTAGTCACGTGACTCGGGTGCTTAGACTTGGATGCGACGTTAAGGTAAGAAAAATGATTTGTACACGGAACTCGTGACATTGCTGCAGTTGTGAAGGTTTCCCGCGCAATTTGGTGCGGCAGGGGTCAGGTGTGATGTGGAGGTCGTGATTGACCAGTGGTAGAGAAAAAGGCACATGATGGCTGAATTTCGGGGGGGGGGGGGGGGGGGGGGGGGAAATGGCACGTGATGGCCAAGTTTCAGGGGGGGGAAGTGTAGGATGTGCCGTGGAGAACGCAATGTTCAGACACATCAAACCAGTGGTGTTGTTGGCACATGATGGCCAACAGATGGGGACGAGGTGAGTGATTTCACCAAGTTTAAAGTGGTAGTGCATACACCACGATGTGGAAGCAGTAGATTGATTAGCGGCACGATAATGGTTTGATTGAAGTGTTGTACTGACCTGAATCGCTATTACCGTTTGCTTTTCCTGCTGTTCATTGAACAGTTCTTCATGCGCTTCTAGGAGGAGATCTTGATTGATCTCCTCGAGGCTCCATGTTGGCGCCCGTTCCTATGGCAAGATGCCATCTGCAGTGTTGCTGTGATTGGTACAACAGTAATGCTCGTTGTTTGAGGTGTGGTCTGAGGAGTGCCGCCAGTGATGGTTCTGTAAGGCTGACCAGAACTGAATGTGCATGTTGACGCGCTCATCTGGCCAGTCATGAATCCTCATGTAATTGAGAATACATGACGCCGCCTTGTTGAACTCCTCCCAGGTGAGGCTTTGGGGTCTTTCACTGCATCTGCAGGAATCCAGGAATGAATGCCATCGTTGGAGGGGAGCATTACTAGGGCATCTGGCTCTGCAATTTGTGAGAGTTTGTTGGCATTGTCTAGGCCTCGGTTGGTGAATTAGTGCAACTCACAATAGTCTCCTGCTTTGATCTTCCTCATGGCGTACAGAGCCAGGAGGATTGTTGGATCTGATGGAACTTTTCCTCAAGTGAACGGAGCATACTTATTTTTGTTTTTCTTCCGTTCTTCTAGCTGAGCTGCTTGTCTTTCTTCTTGGAGGACTTGGTTGCATTGCTCTTCTTCTTCTTCTTCTTCTTCTTCTTCTTCTTCTTCTTCTTCTTCTTCTTCTTCTTCTTCTTCTCACTGACGTAGTTCTCATATTCATTCTTGTTTCTTGGCCCAATGCACTTTGTCGGCGTTGTTGGTTAAAGTCCACAAGGACGCAAACATGTGCACAGCTTGGTCTTCAGTGAGACCGTCTTCTACTAGTTGTAGACGAGCTTGTTCATGCTCTCTAGTAGTGAAATCGGGCCTTGCAGCCTCGTTTGGATTCTTGAGGTGCATTGTGGAAGTGGGGAATGCAAAGATGAATAGTTAGTGCCTAGTACTTAGGACAAGAGAATACTGCGATGGTGGGCAGAAGCAAAGAGCGCTGCGCCACATTGCTTATTCACGCATAGACTAATTCTAATCCAGCCTTGTTCCTTGGCCAGCTTAGACCACCAACTACAAATGTGGAATAATCCTGGTCCAAGCTACTGTATTGTATATGCCAGGCAGGAAGCAGTGATCCCAAGCTCTGTATAACTAGTTGTAACACATGCAGGGATATATGAGAGCGCTGACAATTGCACCACTTGCGAAGAAAAATAGGAGAATGCTTTCCAAAAGGTCTGGGATATTGAATCTCAATGGCAAGGATGCCCACAAATCAACAATAACAGAACAACAAGAATATATAGTGGTGCACTTGCCATCACAAGGGAAACCACATGCCATAACATTTGTTCTGCAAGTGTGTTTCTGGAACAAGAAATTCCAGCCCAGATAATGTATCCCTCCGAATATCATCCCACTGAAACATCAAAGGAGAGATATAATCCCGCCATCATATTTTCCTTGGGCTCCGTAGCCACCTAGAGATGGAACACAATGAAAATGGATAGCGCAGGGGGAATTCATTGCTTCAGTGCCCGAAAGACTGAGAAAGGGATAGATGAGACAAAAAAAAATGTTTCCAGCCTTTATTGGAAAATGTTGAATGTGCCTTGCTAGAATGCAGGTGGATTAGAGCCATTTCAGGCAAGAATATTGATGATATACTTGTAGGTTAAGCCGCTTGGTGACGCTGTTACTTTCCAATGAACCATATAAGGACATCCTACATCCTCAGGCTTCTTCCACCACAAGCCATAGGCAATGCAGGTCAAGGCCCCTACAGCAAGGGCGTCGATTTAAAGCAGTGTTATCAGAAGTTTCTGGACATAACGGGCGACAAGCTGGATAGCAAATCACACTAGCTGAAGAATAGCAATGCCTTTGGATAGTGTATCGCCCTTGTCATGGCTGATAGGTGATTACAACATTTGCCACTTTGGTGATAAATGGCAAGTAATGGCAAGCAGTCTGTCATAATTGTGCTTGTGGCAGTTTCCATCCAACTTTCTCCAGCTAAATAAAGCTTTCTCTAGTGAACTACCATTTTGATAGATATTATACAAATTTTAAGCCAGGTAAAGCTTTATAATGCTTTGTCATTTCCTGGTCAATTCCCTGATGCTGTTCATAGTGAATGGCATGCTGCCAACATACACACAAGGTTAGACCGATTAAGGATTCAAAGTGTTTGTTTGGCAGGACACGTACAAATTCATTTCCAGCAATTTGGTAAACTTTCCTCTCTACCAACCATTTTTCTACTCTTGGATTTGTTAGTCCCGTCTTAATGTATCAGCCAATCCGCTGGACCCATGCCAAAAATGCAACTACTCACCCTGGTCAGATTGTCCTTGATGCCCAGCCGAAGCGCCAGACCCGGGCAGAGAAGACAGCTGATGACCAGCATCTCCAAGCAGCTCAGGATGCCAAAGAAGCGCTAGCTGTAGCAGGACTTAATTGGCTTGCAGCATTGTAGAATGAGATGGAAGAAGCCCAGGTCCAGTCAATGACGAAGAAGCCAAAGGCTGTCAGGCCTAGGCCATGTGCTATACCTAAGAAGACACAAGTAAGCAAAGAAGATGAATCGGCTCCAGAGAAGGCTGGCGATAGCAGCAAAGCAGCAGTTCTCAGGTCGACAGAGGACGGTGATTTATTTGATGAAGGCCTACCAATCAATGAGGACCTGGAAGATGATGAGACAAAGAAGAAGAAGAAAGGATGGAAGAACACACCACAATCACTCAAGGCTGCCATCAACAATGCTTCCAACAACTTGTTAGGGGCTGTCATTGCCGGTCACAATCAGCCACGTGCACAAAACCTGAACGAGAAAGGCAACTCCTTACCACTGTGAGTTCTTTTTGGAATCGACATGTTCATGCTCACTGAGTCTACACTATTCTTCCTCAATTTAACTTGAAAATCAAGGGCAAAGTCGACTTTGGGTGGCCGTATTCAGAATTGGAGGTCAACTGTCCCTGGATCACAAAAGTCCAAGTTGGTCAGTCCAGGTGGTTCCCAGCTCGCTCCACTGACTACCGCCAGTCAACCTCCACCTTCCACCATCTTTTCAAAGTCTCAGATATCTCACACGTCAAATGCTACTTCTTTAAGCTCAAATGCACATGAGATTTCAAAACCACTGGTGCCTATCATTACAAGTATGTCCGATGTCTCTGAAGACACAGATGATCTGGTTGGAGGGTTTGGAGAGGACCTTGATGATTGGCAGGAACATGATGTGGCGGTATCTGCTAAGGGCAAGGTATCTGTGCTTAGAAAGGTGACCATCAGTTTATCCTAGTCTCCTTATACTGACTTCATCCAAGTCTATGGTTGAAATGAGGCCGGTCGCAGATCCTGAACTTGTTCCCCCACCTCTGGCTCAAAGGCCCAGTGGTCGAGTCACCTCTGGAATGAAGAGAAAGCTCGATCTGCTCCACTTCTCTTCAGATGACGATTTATTAACTCCCAAAAAAGACGAGATAGAGGAGCTGGAGATAGAGGACTCGGAGCTGGAGATCAAGGGGCTGGAGACAGATGAGCAAGCAATGGAGGTTGATGAAATAGAGACTTGGACAGAGGTTGTGAGGAAGCCAGTTGCAGGCAAGATACAGCAGGCTACTATGACAGTGAAAGCTCCACCACGTACCACAGCTTCAGCACTAGTCTCCCTGTTTATATTCTTCACTACTCAGGCTAACTTTGGTGTAGACATCCATTGGTACCACATCTCAGGTCAAGGCGCCACCATCCTCAAAGAAAGCAAGGATCGAGAACACACCTGTAAAGTCTGAGCTTATGGCACCTGCCAGGTCAAAGGAAAATGGTAGTTGGGTGGAACCACAGCCGAAGTCACATTCATCATACTTAAACACTGACCTCCCTCCAGGTTGTGACCAAGATAATAAATGGGCCAGGGAATTTTTACCAACAGTGATTCTCTGGCTTGGTGCTCAAGACGAGCTTTGGGCAGTCTCAGATCCAAACCTTCTCCACGCATGTCAGGAAATCTTCAAGGTTGTCTATCCGAACATTCGGTACCAGGTTGTGATGTCTGGTTCAGTTTTTGGTGTTGTAAGTTCATCTTCTATTTCATTAATGTTATTTTAATCATTTGCCTATTTTTAGGTCACCCAGCGCATCAGTGAATGACATATTTATACTTGATCATGGCCTTGGGAGGGCTTTATATATGTACTATAAGGGATATGTGAACAGCTGGTATAGTCTATGTAGTGAGAATAGAGTGAAAACCCTCAAAAATGCGAAAATATGTTACATTTTAGGCAGGAAGTGACTTTGGATTGTAGACAAGGATCCTGGTATTGTTCTGTCATACCTATGTGATAAATATATTCCATATGTTCATAGTAACAGACTACATACCATCCTAGAGGGCCGGAGCTGCAGGAAAAAGTTTCTCAGGGGGTGAACCACCAGGAAGATGACAATACATATGACCCCAGGGACTGATCCTACTGACATATACTCTTGATATATTGTATATACTAGTGAAGAGATGTTAGAAATAATATTCACTAGTCTATATACCTAAACACTAAAAAATGCGAACTGGTTTATGTTTTTTGAGAGGTATTCATGAATTTAACATATCTACTGATGTAGGACACTTCAGAGGCTCAAATAAGCGGTGTAATATATTCATTAACACTATAATATATGATATATACAGTCAGAATTGCTTCCCTGCTAAAGGGGTAAAATATCGAATATGTTTTAGTCCTGGGATGCACATATTGTAGTCAGCACTGTAGACTGCTGTACAAGCTCTCAGACAATGAAAAAAGCGGTCTATTGTATCATTTTATGTATGTACATGCCATTCTACTACTTATATACATGAGTGAGCAAGGGGAAAGCTCTGGTGCAGCAGTAGAGCCAGGGAGGTATGTGGGAATAGTGAGATTATTGGAATATCCCAATTTGGTGATTTTTCCGGTGGTAGTGTTATTCTTGGAAGCCTGAGAATCACCAAAGGAATCAGAAGCCATCAAGCTAATCACCAAAGGAGTCAGAAGCCATTAAGCTTAATTGTAGGGGATTGATGGTTTACAAACAAACTTACAAAACCATACCGTTTCTGATCAGTGAGTATTATGCTTAATTTTAACAGTATAGCCTGGAGTCACAGGTACTGGTGTAAGAACCTCATCAGCTCATTGAGTATGTAAGGCAACTTGAGACAGAGGTACTTGGAGTCAAGGCAAGATATGAGAGTATGAGACAGTTATGCATGAGGATGGAGGTAAAGTAGATGAGGAGGTAGTTCATAAGTATGCTATGCTTTCCCGACCAGTGGGCTGACTGAACACTTGTAAGTCCCCATATTTGCGCTGCCAGCATCTAAAAAGCCAACTTGGTCGAAGTTCCTCTCAAAGTGCTTTTGAGCAGTTCACTTTTGGTTTAGTTCAGGTTTGCATTCATAAGCACAGATTTTTGGTTATGTGTTCAGCATCTCCACCAATCACAGCGTTCATTTCAGTGGTTTTCCAGATGCCATTTACATAGATAACATAATATATGTTGCCATGTCGGTACCCTTTCAAGAGACGCGACAAATTTGCTGACCAGCGCCCGAACAGTTATCACAGTCGACCAACGTTTTTCGGTGTATTCAGACCTCGAAACTTTTCTGAACAACGGGCGAAAAACGCCTCGCCAACGCAACTGTGAACTCCCCTATTCTAGACCGAAAGCAAATAAAGAGATCATATCGCGCACACCGCAAAAGCGACCCTCCTAGTACGAGTCTACCTACTGCATCTTATTCTTCTTCCTCTTCTTTCACCTCCCTTCCTCCCCATACTGATCCCTCCGGCTCCTCTAATCGCGCCCCAAACTTGCCCGCCCGGCTTTTAGCAGCCCTCACCAACGCGCGCTTTGTTTCGCTGTTTGGCCAGTTCTTCAAATTAAAGTACGAGGGTGCGTATTCAAGGAGCCTATCGAAGCGTCATTCGCGTCAGGGTGCAAATCAATACAGCCTAACATGCCTGACAACGTACCACTCTGGTCGGACATTCGTGACAGTCCGTATATACGGTCTCGTCGTGAGCACAAACTTGTCAAATATGACCCACTCTGGTTGCGTATCAAGCCCGCACGATGGATGCAGCGCCACGACCTACCAACCCGAAAAAATCACATCAGCACGCCAAACCTCCCGAAACCAAAATGACGCACTTGGTTATCCTTCACGGTCATATAATTCCCCTTCTCCCCCTCCTTATGCGCGACTTGCATGAAAAACCCGCAGCACAACGCCTGTCTGATCGCCATGTACATCTTCTGATCTTGCACGCTCACGAGCTCCACCTCAAACCGTTCCATCGTTCGTTTCAGCTGTTCGCGCACGTTGTCAGCTTGCATGAGTGCTCGAGCAGAGAGGTAGTTGTTCCAGGTCCAGTTTTTGTCGTACTGGTCTGGGGTAGTTGTGAGTGAGCGAGTGTGGGTGTAGGCAGAGGAGAAGGGGAGACTTACTTTGAGTGTAGTTATTGTACACGTTCAGAAGCGTTAGGTGGTCGCCATCGGGGACGGTAAGTAGCGCCTTTGCAGCATCTGCTTCTTTTCGTTGGTTGTTCGGCCGTAGCCATACATTTGGTACTGCAGGCGCGTCAGATGAGAGTAAACCTCAGGGCTAAGTGCGCACCTGACAGCATTGCAGTGATCGTCAAGATCTCATTGCTGCATTTAAACTCCGGACTGACAATCAGCATCTTTGAGAGTTGTGGATCTAGAGGGAATTCTGCCATGATACTCCCCAGCGGCGTGAGATTCCCCTTATCATCCAACGCCGCGAGGTAGCTCAATAGCTCCAGCGCCCTCATCAATGTCTCTGGTGCTGGTGCGTCTACGTAATCAAATTTGACGAGATCCTGAATGCACGTCGACCCGACTGAAAAGTCACCCCATCACATGCTCACCTTAATCCCGGCCTTGACAAGCTCCAGCACCGTATTCGCCAAATTACTCCTCAAAATTTCTGGATGTGTCAGCTCCTCGAGCTCCGACATAAAGTGCTTCTCCGTGTATAACCTAAAACATTTGCCCGACCTCGTTCTGCCAGCCCGACCCGCACGCTGCTGCGCCGATGCCTTGGAGATCGGGCTCACAAGCAAGCTCTCCACGCGGATGCGCGGGTTATACACCTTCTGCTCAGAAAACCCTGGGTCGACGACGTACACAATCCCATCGATCGTGAGCGACGTCTCCGCGATGTTCGTGCTCACCACGACCTTACGCCCTAGAGGGCCGTCCGGACTGCGTGCTTTTGGCGGCGGGTCAAAGATGCGCTGTTGCTGTTGCGGCGATAGTGACGAGTAGAACGGAATGCACACGAGCGGGCCTACGCTCTCGGGGTAAGAGTTGACGAGGTCGTCTGCCTCGAGCTTGATCTTGCGACACGCATCCTCGATCTCCTCCTCACCCGTCAGGAACAATAGGACATCACCCGGCTCCTCGGCACGATGAATCATGAGTACAGTACGAATGGCAGCGTCGACGTAGTCTGTCTCTGCTTCCTGGGTGTAGAACACCTCGACGGGATGGGTACGGCCGGGGACCTTAAAGAGCGGGACGATGGTGTCGCTGGAGACAGCGAAATACTTCTGGAACTTGAGGATGTCAAGAGTGGCGGACATGATAATGAGCTTGAGGTCTGGACGGCGTTGGGTAAGGGTCTTGAGAATGCCCATAAGGATGTCGGTGGCAAGGGTGCGTTCGTGGACCTCGTCGAGGATGATAGTGGAGTAACGGTTGAGATCAGGGTCGTTCATAGCTTCGCGGAGCAGCATTCCGTCAGTCATGTATTTAAGGAAGGTAGTGCCGGGCTCTGTCATATTTTCGAAACGTATGGAGTAACCGACCTGTCGGCCGAGTTGGACTGGGAGATGACGTGAGCTCAGAATGCGATCAGAACTTGGAGCAAAAAAAAATGCACTATCCATCTCATCTGCAACGCGTTTTGCCACAGACATAGCAGCGACTCTGCGGGGCTGAGTACATGCAACAATCTTATTCCTGGTATGCGGAAGATCGGAGTAGGCGACAAACTGGGGGATTCTATCGGTGACACAAAGCGTTTATAAGTAACTGTTCAAAGATGATGAGGGACGATGTTTGGCTGGGGATGCCAACTTACTGCGTGGTCTTGCCTGAGCCGGTCTCGCCAACAATGACGATGATTTGGTGTTTGTTGAACTATAAACATCAGTCAGGGTGAATGGGGCGGGGTAGGAGGAAGGACTTACTATCTTGTAGAACTCTGTCATCTGTGCAAACACAGGGAGCTTTCTGCGGGCTTCGAGGATATTTTTGTACTGTGCTGTATGGGGCTGCTTTGTAAATGGATTGAGATCATTTTCCTAAGCAAATCCCCGAGTCAGTCAGCCTCGACGTGAGTTAGCAATTGAGAGGACATACCAATGCCTGGCGAACTTGATCCGCATTGACCATTCGGGGAACAAAACCAAAGAGAGGCTCCCTCGAGGAGGCACTGGCACCATTGAGAGAATTTGAAGTAGCATGCGACTTAGTGGGACGTCGATGGGCAAGATATGGGTTCTCTTTCGCTGTCGATGTCATTTTGTGGGCCATCATCAACAAAACAGCACGAAACATATATGGCCAGGTACGACCTTGCAGAGCTTACATGATCAACTAAGTCTGTTATTGGTCAGTTATGATATGGTGGCCGCCGTGCAATGGAGCGCCAGCCTGGTACGAGCCTTGCAGTGTTTCACCAGTCTTGGCTTTAAATGTAAGGATGTTGTAAGACTTATGTTTACCTGAGATGATGAGTGCAAGTAGTAGACCAGCCATATAACCGTCTCGCATGTACACTAGCTGGTGGTAGTGTCCGAGCATCCCGACCGAGCGTGGTTCAAGGCAACTCGGGTTCTGATCTTACAAAGTAGTTAGAGGCTCCCCGTGGTAGGTCATACAAATCAGCTGCAGATACACTGAAATTCACTGATCGGGTAAGAAAAACATATCCTGCCGCTCTAAAAAAATCAAAGGTCATCAAACCCCTCGAGGTCATCACCGGCATCATCCTCTCCGTCCTCAGGGCCCAGGTCATCGTCAGCCTCGTCGCTATCATCATCTTCGTCAGCCTCGTCATCTGTAACTTCTTTCGATTGGTCAATTCCGCTATAGCCATACTCCTCTATCTCCAATTCCACATCTTCACCACGATCGGCAATGCCTTCGTCACCGTCCATCACCTCGTCCTCACCAGGCTCTTCACCATCAAGGCCGTTGTCATCACCTTCTTCGTCCGAGCTGACAAAATCTGTATCTTCACTGCGGTCATCTAGAACGTCCAACTCAGGAGCAACCTCGTCTAGAGGATCGCGGTCATCGAGGAATACTCGTGTTGCATCTCGAGTCGACTTATGGCCCACCCGGCCGCCACCACGGAAACGCATCATCATGTCTCTATCAACAAACCTACGTCTGGTAAGCACGAGGCAGATGTACAAAACAAGAGACTCACATATTTACATAGTAAAACTTCCAGTCTTCGTTATTTTCGTGCAGGGGACAGGCAATTGATGGCGGTAATAGTGTGTCAGTACGGTCATGTTGAAATCCAGGGATCAAGTGGACACCACGAACGATATTAGCCCCACTCAATTCCATTTTATTTCGCCCATTTTATTTTCTACAAGCAATTTACAAGTGACAGGCTGTGTGAACTTGAGAGAAATAAAATGTGTTGTAATTGAGGTTGAGCATTTTATTTTATTTCTGATGGCACAGCAGCACTCGCTGAGATTAGAATACATCAGCAAATCAGTTCACTCTGGACAGTGCCGGACAGCCTACAAGGCACACAGCTTGGTCCCAACTTTACAGGCTTGCACAGAGGCTTCTTCTTCTGTGGGGTTCTGTATAAAACTCTACAGAGCACACTGCTGTACTCAGAAATTATCTGTGTCTTGAGATACCAGACAAAATCCTCTGTGGGTTTCCGGTCTCACTGGACACTGAACAGACGAAAATTCAATTCATATCCAGCATATATTGATTAGATAACAGATAGCAGTGCAGTACATCATGCGATAACACAATAGGTAGAAAACCGTAAGCGAGCTACAAGCAGGGGGAAACGAGCTGACCTCAATCAAGCATGATCTCAATATCAACGTGGTGAGACATTTCATTGCCGTCGACTTTGCAAGATGCCTGCCCTACATGAATACAGTTAGCGTGCTAGACTTGTTAGAAATGAGAGCATATCCTTGCCATCCAGCCTCAGCCCACTGATTGGAGCTGCTCGACCAACTTGGGACCATGATAAGGATGTTCCATGATGTTTTGGAGCGACTTTAGCGCAGATGCATAGGTTGGGCGATATTCCTTGGCGGTGAATTTCGGGGATGATTTTCCGTTCCCATTTTTCGCGAGGCCTGTCAAGAATGCAAATGAACTATGAAACAAGTTAGTTTGTTGTAGAATGTGAAAATAATAATAATAAAATACCACAGCAGAGACCAAAGCCAAGCATGACAAAGGCAACTGCTTGCTGAAAATGTCTGGATGTCTTTGAGTGATTCTATACGGTCCAGTGTACATGAACACGATGACGGCGTCGCGGAGCGCAGGGTTGGCAAAGTTTCATGTTTTTCCCTGCAGCGCCTTGTTATTTAGATACTCATAAAATTATATGGGCAGCAAACCTGTTCGTCCGTACTGTCGTGTAGAAACTTTGAGCCCGCCTTTAACTCAGTAGCCGCACCTTCCACCCACGAAGCACGTTCTTGAGGTGGGATATTTGACAGGGGGGACGAGGCCAGGCATGGTTGAGGCAATCGCAGCGACATTCTTCTTGAGCTCAGAGCGCCAAGTTGAGAGATCTTCATATAACTGGATGACAGGAAGTATGAGAGAATAGCGAAACAAAAAGACCGGCGATGATATACTTATGAGTTTCGCCATATCGGGCTTGTGAATAGGCCAATAATCTGGTACTTGGGTCAGATACACATGCGCTGGAGAAGACCAAAGCTTACCAGGTTCAAATTGTTTACCGGCTGTATCCCACTGGTAAAGAACAGCTAAAAGGGCCTCAGAGACAGAGCCTGGCAAGTCTTTAACTCGAGCTGGGAACAGGTTCTCTAGTGCATGCTGGGTATGACACTCTTCTTTTGTGTCCTTGAGGAAACTCTTCCAGTGGGCTGGGTAGAACACCAGCTGTGTAGGCTTCGGCCCATCAGGTGGACATTTGGCTTTAGCTGGTTGCTGCGTGTTGACTGGACCCTTGTCGTTCTTCGGATCCTTTGTCATGACCACATGGCGTAAGAGTTTTAGGGAAGCAGGGTCAGGGAAGACGGGGTCGCCCGTTCTTCTTATGATGCCGATTTAAAAGGTTGTCGGCTACATCTGCAGGCTGGAAATGAAGTAGTTGTTGAGTGCTTGGGGATATGCTACCAGATGGGACATCATACCTGAGAGCCGTCAGGTTCCTGAATACCTTGAGTTTCATTGGTAGACTGGTGTCGCACCTGAGAACCACCGAGTTCAAGTTCAGAGACTTCAGGGGACACGTCGAGCACCCTCCGAGGCAATCTCATTACTCGACAGTTTGTCAAAAGCTAATGTTTGCTTGGTGTTCATGTCATCTTTGTTCGCGGGAGTATTGAAAGTCGAAGTTGGGAGCAAGAGTGGAAGTAACATGGACCAGGGAAGGTTCTGGTTCCCGAGAAAAACCTACGAAATAATCAGGGTGACCACGGTGACCATCATATGCAAAGATGGCATTTACCTGGGTGTACACGATGGCAGCTTCGCCAACCTCAGCCCAACCAAACTCCCTTTCACCAGTGTTATCACTGTCAGTAGAATAGTCAGTTGTCTTCGCCACCTGCGCCACTTTCACCAGAGCCTGAAGTATCCGAATCTTCGGAATCGGATTGTTGCAATGAAAGGTTAGTCCCAGGTTCAGAGCCGACTGTTCGTAGGGACAGGTCCAAATAGTTCTCGGAAAGAGTCAGAACAATGCGTGCAGTGAATGAAGGATGTGAAAGTAAGTTTAAGGTGGCTGAAGGTGGCACTGATCGTAGAAGATCATCATTGGCTGGCCCACTAGAAGAAGACTGATGGCCTCCAGCAAGGCTTTGAACAGCGCTGCAGGCACAATACTTAGCATCTTTCTTGGCCATCATGATCGCTACATAAGAATTGTTAAGCGCTTGCAGATCTGGCTCTGTTCCAGGTGGCACGATTGGTGGGCTGCCTTGAGGCGTTTGAAATCCAAAGTGTCCGCCCGTTTCGCAGAGTGATAAACCCGGTTGCAATGATTGATAGCTTGACTCGCCGCGGGTGATGTCCTGAAGTAAAAATGAATGCTTGATTTAAATACGATATGATGTTCCTCACCGGTTCGGCTTGCGGGTCAGGGACAGAAGATGTCTATTTGAATGATTGATCATTGTATCACCAGGAATGGATAAAGAAAAAATACCTCACCTTGGCTTTTTTCCCCTTCTGACAGGAACTCGTGATGGTAGAGCCCGTACCGTTTGAGATGCTATACGGCGGAGGAGGCTTCTAAACATTTAACATCAGCCCCAACTGCACGGATAAAAAATTGAGCTTACCTGTGGACAGCTGCCACAGTGTCACGAATCCCAAATACGAACCATTTTTCATTTCTCGGTTTTCCTTCGGCTACTTCCAGTACCCAGGCCGGTCACGTGACTCCTCGTCATATATCACCTGTTGCTTCTCTGATTGGCTCCCCTACTCCACGGGCTAGAACAATCTCGCTTCCTAAAGAAGAACCGGTTGGATCTTGGGTTTCTATTTAGTAACTGTCTTACTCATTCGCTTATATATCATGATGTCATACTTAGTCATCCGCAGTATCGTACGACTCTTTTCTCATTGGCTGATTTCTTTCAGACTCCTATTCAATGTTATGTATAAAAGTAGGTTAGTTAGTGTAAGTACTCCTTAGACTTAACCTCTTCGTTTCCTACTGTTGTAGTGACTTAGACGTTCACGCTCAATACCATCCTGTTCCTCATCATCTTTGACCGAGTCCTAGTGGTTGTGAACTCGCCTTCATCATTATTGGTGAACGTTGGTCATAACACACGGCCCTTTCAATGTGATTCTGGAGCAAGAGGGTTTGCTGAGATATTCGGCGCGAGGGTCGTGGAGCCCTTAGGTTGGCTTGTCCGCGTTGGGGCCACCAGAGCTGCGCCAACTTTCTCTAGTTGAGCATTCCTTCCTCCTGTACCTGCACCAGGACGACCAGAACGACGAATGGGGAGAGCGTTGACATCGGAAGATAGCTGCAGCGACACCAAACCAACTTCATCTGCTGTCCACACCTTCTTTCCTTGCCCAGTGAGCACTGGGATACCAGATTCCGCAACTTTGCGCTTTGCCTTTGTCCTTTTGGGGCTAGATGTAGCTCGGGGACGAGGAGGCATGATTGAGACTGACAAAGGGTAGGAACACCAGAAGGGATATAAGCGACAAGACCCAGACAAAATACACTCAACTCTTAAGGGATTTGACTCAACCGAGCAACATGTCACACTTGTAGGCAGTATGACTTGACCAGCAGTGTAAGTGACTGCATTCCTGCAGGAATATAGTCGAATGGAGGATCGCATGAGGAGAACGAGCTCAATGTTGTAACATTAGTAATACTACATACATGTTTGTGGGAACAGCTGCGATGAGTCACTACTTCTGAGTTGATGGCAAGAAGGGGTAAAACATGTAATGAATACTACAATGCAAAAACGTAAACACTTCGCGAGCGAAAACCATATACTACTGTGTACACAAATTAAATCAAGATTGACGACAAAACCGGCCTAGCTACCCCGAGTTTGATGTCTTGTTCCTCTTCACAGGTTTGACAGTCCACTCGTCATTCAGACCGCACTTCTTCACTGCGGTGCAGTCCATTTCCTTTACCTTCATGATCTCTCCTGATGCATGCACGTCCTGCTTATGCTTATCTACCAACCTCTTGCGGAGCAACTGCTCAGGGGCCAGCTCAGGCTCGCCCTTAAGAAGTTGAGTGATATGTTTGTCCAGGATCTTGAGCAGCGCATCAAATTCAATGGGTCGGTGGAGAACCTGGCCGTCGACACTGCCGATCTGAACTGGAAAATTGAGCCTCAGGAGGTCCATCCACTCCAGTGCAAGCGGAATAAGATCCTTGAAGTAGCCGTCAAACTGCGCTTGGAGTGCAGCTTCGCCCTCACCCACTGTGTAAAACGCGACCTTGTTCTCAAAGCATCCCCTGATATTCTGGTTGCTCCACGCATGCAGAAGCCATGCTTTCGAAGGGTTCAAATGGCATTCTATGCCAAGAGGGCCGCTGTACTCGATGCAGATCCAAGAAAAGACGTAAAATAGTGATTCGAGATCATCCAAATAGTCTTGCTTGACGAATTCAATTGCCAAAGGTGATGATGACAACACCCCTTTTTTTGCAGTGTTGGAGACCAAGATCTTTTTCACTTGCTGCAGGAGCTGCCACGACATGAATGGAATTGTGCCCTGCAAGTTGAGTCAGTGAATTTACTCCTGGATCAATGATCCACTTACTGTTCCACCGATAGCATATGTATTCTCTGGTGTGATAGTTACAGCGAATTCCCAGTCGATCAACATTCCAAGGCTATTACCATCGGCATCCTCGATCATCGCATTGTGGAGGCTGCAATCACGATGCAAGATACCCCGTCGATGCGCTTCCTGTTGAACTGGGAGAACAATCGCCGGTTAGTATCAACATGTATATCACGAAGGAGGGATGCTTACTGGCCACAATGTCGCGTATAGCTTGAATAAATTCCACCTTTGTTTGAAATTTATGCAAAGGTCACCCCCGGGGCTTCATGATGAGCCGAAAATGAGTGCGCCAAGTGCCGACTAAGCTGGGTAGCTCTTGATATCGGTAAATCTTCGTGTTGTCGACCTCACCAGTCAACAGCTTAACCTTGCTGAATTCTACAAGTTCCGGGACACCACGGACACCCTGCATCTTCTTCAACATAGCAACCTCATTTAAGATATCTTCGTCGTCTGCATTCCCAAGGACCCAGTGGTCCTTGATGATGTACTCTTCATCATCTTTTCTAGCCAAGTAGCAAACGGTGCCACGACCAACCAGGCCATGACTCGAAAATAAAACCTCCAGGATATCATACCAGTTGTCATTGACTTGAATTTCACCGATTGGTGACGAATTCGGAGGAGGAGGAATGAAATGTTGGGCAATAAAAGGAGCTAGCGAGGCAGGAGTGGCCGAGGGAAGCAGTTCAGAGGGGAGTGTAGGAAGACCAGTCCTGATATAAAGCCGCTCATCTCGTTCAAGGGAGGAGAAGGCACTTGATAAGCCTGAGGAATCACCGCCAAGAGTGTCTAGGCGACGTGAGGGCAAAGGTTTGTATGATGACGTTGACTCGTATCCTGACTCGTCCGACTCCTTGTCTGACTCCTTGCCTGACTCTTCGCCTGACTCCTCACCTGACTCCTCTGACTCGCCTGATGCTGCATCTCCTGTCTTGGCCTGTGTACCAGATTCACCATGGGTGTCCCTCTTTTTCCGAACACACAATCTCCTAGGAGGAATGGAACGACGGGATAACACAGGGAGTTTGAGCTGTCGAATATTCATTGTCGTATCGAAACCGATGCACTCGCCATTACCAAAGACAATAGCCGAGAGGATCTGCAGAAATTTTTTCTTCTGTTGGCTGATATGAAATGGAGGGGATACGGCAGAACCAGAGTGGTCGTATATGTGGACACGAAGTTCACGATAGTGGTTGCATAAAGATAGCATGAGAGTGAAGCGCCTCCAGGGCTGGTGCTTCAAGATGATGTACACCTTGGTATCAAGGGATTTCGTGGCACGCTTCCCTGGCCGGTACTTGCTGCTCGTTACTTCAGCGATGACCTTGATGCCTGCCCACCCAGGGTTTGGTTCATCTGACATAATGATGTCAGGTTTGCAGGGGATGTCTTCTCCCTTGATTGGGGTGGTTGAGTGGGCCCCACTCCATACATGATTCGCTTGCTTAGTTTTGAGTCCACCGTGTTCAGAAAGTGCTGCCATGAGGGCGTTCAAAAGCCCCGCAACTACATGCTCAGTAGTCAAGTTAGAATGGGAAGCACTGCCTCTGGGCGCCTGACTCCCCCCCCCCCCCCCCCCCTTGGCTGTCCCTCCTCATGTTTTTCACCCTTTTTATTTTTGCACTGTTTTTGGGGCGGATCTGGCAGCCCCCAGTTCCACATCTTTGCCTTGCTATCCCAAAGTTCCACAGAGTCTGTTGGTTGATGTTGACAAAACTGATTATCAACCCGCTCGTTACGATATTGAATCTGAGAGAGAGGGATCTGAAGATCCTCTGCACGAGGTGCTTGAACCTTGAAGGATTGGAAAATGATGGATAGAAGATGTCCGATGGGGGTGCTTCGTTTGATATGACTCGCGGGCTCCTCAAGGACTAGTTGATTCAGCTCTTGAGTAGTTAGCCTGTCCATCATCGGCACATCATGAATTAGAGGAACTTTGATGAAGGATCCCAGTTTTATTCCAACAACTAATGTTGAGAAATATTGTTTCGACTTTGATTTTGACTTGGACGATTTGGAGGGCATTGTACTCAGTGATGACAGTCAAAGGTTGGCATGGGAATATGTGCAAATTTTTCTTATCTCCAATCAAACTCGAGCCACAAAGCTAAGACTAGTATAGTGAAAAGCAATACAAACTCTTCCATAAAAACTACATTGAAAGAGGGAAGTAAGTGCTTTTGTCCCAAAAACGATTCAGCCATAACTCCGACACATGCTCAACACTATTATAAGTGGTAAGGCGATTGTCTGCGGCGGCACAAAACTGAGGAACTAGATTAATGGGCGCATGCAGTTGTGAAATCGGTACAACATCCCCTATGCAAGTCCCATTAGACCGTCTTGCCCTTTTAAGGACATGCATCTGCATAGTTGGTTCGCGGACACCAATGATGTCGAAGTGATGAACGTAGGTAAGAGACTGATCTCGCCATGCCCATTGTGTGCTGGTCTTGCCAAGGGGGCGAAAAATAAGTCTGATTTAGACGACAGTGTCCTGAGGGATGAGGTTAATAACAGGCATTGGGGAAGGACAAATGAGTATGACTTGCCCTGAAGACCGCTAGTAGGCCACGAGTGTTCCGCTTCGGTATTGACAATGATTGAATCATAATGACCGTATGTCCAAGGTTCACTTGGCGGCACACAATTGAGAGTCTGGGCTGGCTGAATATTGTGAACATTGTGAAATTCCGTATCTTGCAAGCGAAGTTTGAACCATACTTGAACTTTCTCCAAAGGAAGCGCAGAATTGGGTCCGGCTCTCCTTGGGCTGCCTATTGCATGGGTGTGGTTGTGCCCGAAACTGGCCTCATGATGCAGAAAATCAGATAGCGCCAGTCGCAAATCTGGCAAGCCAAATTTGAGGGCTACATCATCAATAGTGATGCTTTGGATGGAAGGTTTATAAGCTAAATGAAAGGCGGTGCGCCCAACGACAAACGAACGCAACGGTAGAGGTACGGAGCCCACAGGTTTGTGCTGCAGGACCCAGGCGATTGCAAAATGATTCATAATTGGACGTGAACGACCATGCTGAATTGTAGATAAGAACTCAACAGGTATATTGTCATCCAAATCAGCGTCGTCAGTGTCCTCGTAGTCCTTGTTGTCCATATGACTCCCTGCTGCATCGGCTAATGCCTTGACATTCTGCTTCTCATCTAGAAGGGTGGTAGCGAGCTCAAACCGAAGACATTTATCGAGTCGATCGAGATGGCGACATATCTGCGGATCGTAATTGTTGTTGTTACTTGATCTCGCCGGGTCCTTAATCTTGGTGATATGTGCGTGCTCGGTAACATCTGCAGACCACTGAGCCGTGACTCCAGAGTTCCTAATGCTGGGTATGACACTCTGCATAAGCTCCAGTTTCGGTATGTACCAATTATTGATCACTTTGTTGCCCTTGCCACAATGAACCCCAGCATCAATGATTGAATCTTTGTTTGCGTGGAACTCATTCAATGCTGCTGAGATGTGCACTAAGTCGTTATCGTCGATGGATGGTGACTGTACAAGATAGCGGAAATCCATGAGTGCACGTACGGCGACAAGAACTCCACGGGGTGCTGCATCTGCACTAACTGCGATGATAGAACGTTGGATGTCTCGTTGACAGCGACCCGTAACCTGTTTGAGTTTTGTGATCCCTTCTGTGAAGTGCCGAAAACTGGTGACAGGCTGCAAAACGGAAAAACGGAAATCCATCTCCGACTCCCCAACACCAAATATTAACCATTTTGCGTCATGATCCCAAAATTCCTTATGAAGGACGTGAAGTGTCTCGGGTGTGAAGAAGTGGGACGGATCTATAATCACCCAGTCCCACCAAAATGGCTCAAAGACACCGTTCAAGCGGAATTTTTGCGCTTCCTGAAAGAAGGCTTGTAGATCAGATGGATTGGCTCATGTGCGAAATGACGGATAGTTGTGCAAGGGTGGTTGACGCTGTGCAAGGTTCATGGCGAAAGGAGTCTCCAAATTGCTTGTACATGGCCATGGTGACCGGAGAGGTCTTTCCACCGATGCAGGCCAACATCATGGCTTCAGGGAGTATCGATGATATAACTTGCAAGTGGAGGAAAACAATATTGGACTCTGTCCGACGGGATCCGAGAGCATTACTGCCACTGCAGAGTGGCCTCCTTGAGCAGGATTGAGGACAATATCTAGGCACTGATGAATGAGGCGATCCGCCAATACACCACGCATGCGCTTATTCTTGTGGAGAAACTTCAGGAACTGGCAGCAGGGCGGTGAGTATGAAAGAGTTGGATGATGATTTGAGTCGCGTGTTCATGTGTATATTTGTGAGGCTGACAAGGAGTGGGTGCGCAACGCGATCGCCCGTCAAAACTGAGATATTTGTCTTGTCTGAAGACAATATTGTCCCAAGCAATGTAGCACCTTGGGGAAGCGCTGACTATTGAAAATTAATAAGACTTTAACATACTATGCGAAGGTACCTACTTGCATGTTCCATGCATCATCACCTGTCATCCACTCGGTATACACACGACAGAGCTTTTGCGCTGCGGAATAAACCTTGCGAGGCGTGAAGTCCAATTGATCGTGAAAGAGAGGATGGTTGAGAATAGTAGATATACACTCCAGTGGATTGCGCCAGTATAAAATAATGGGTGATTTTGTTGAATGCGATGTATCAATGATTTGTGACATCCAACGTGGGCCGCTGGGTAACATTTCTGCTCGTCCTCGTAACTCCTTGGCCGAGCAGAACGACAAAGGAAGGTCCTTAATCTGAATATTAGTTAGTGAGTTAGATCTGGATAAAGCTGGCTGATTCCTCACCATCTCGAGTGATAAGAAGGTATCTATCTTCCCCATACTCAAACCAGAACGCAGTAACCATGATGCAATTTCCCAGTCTTGCTTACAGCTAAACGGATAGTAGAGGTTTGTCTTGCGATAGACACTATTTTCATCGGTGTTGAACAGGCCCAAGAATGTATGGTCCATGCCGTACGTCTCTGCAGCGCCTGGAAAGTAGTCGGTAACGTCGCCGTGCGTTTCTTCTTCAATATCCTTTGTTGGGGTTCCGCTAGCCTCATCCCATCCTCCACCTACAGGTGAGCCCTGACCACTGTCGTCAGTGTTTCCAAAATAAACATCATCATCATCATCCTCTTTGTATGAACCCCTGACATCATTATCTGACTCCATAGGATCATCTTCAGGTGGTAGGTGAGATTTCAGCCGAATTAACTCATCCAGCCAACTATTACATCCAGAACGAGGCTGGCTCATATGACAGGCAACAGCGGTGTCGGTTTTGAATCCATCTTTGCCACAGGATGGACACTGGAGAGACATGAGTTACAGAAGAAAGGTATGTAGACGGTATACTAATATTCGCATTGACTCCTGGCAATTTCCGGATTTGCTTTTTCTATCAAGTACACCATACTAAAGTACATAGTAACATATGTCGACCTCGCCTGTCAGTCTCAATATCCACCACAACATTCTGTCTACCTTAAATAAGGCACTCCATCGGTGTTCTCCATGCTACACTCAGCAGCATCCATCGGACACTTGCCAAACTGGAAATTCTGGTGCCGCCGGTGTCTCTGACTTGTATGATATCGCTGATGCTATTGGTTCCATGGTATGTAGTAGCACTATGTTTCTATCAATAACTATATTTAATTTTACAGATCATCGATGATACAGAGGATCTCAAAGCAAACCTTGTCATGGAACTCGCCAGGGCTAGACGGGAGAAGCTCCTTGCTGAAAAGTCGCTTGCTGACTGCAGTGGTCCGCTGAGCCTTGAACTCATGGCAAGTTTATCAAAGTTCAAGTCAAGTCTTTTTGAGCAGAAACTCAACCAGGGCGGATGTAGGATTAGGATACATGTGGATCACTTTTAAAACTGCATGGTCTTTCTCACCGCACGCACCATCTCTACAGTAAGCCTGGGAATACATTGAGATCCACGGTGTTATACTAACAAGCCACAGGTTCTCTCGTCGAGTTAGGGGATAGTCATGGCATCACTATTCAGCTAGATTGATGTGAGATACTATGTTGATTTGATTGTCACAGAATTTCTGTAGTACCTTGTCAAAATTTAGCAATAGTGTTTTGTACCGCGTATTAAATTCAAGTGTTTCACTACTAGTACTGTCCAGCACTGTGAGCTACTGTGCAAAACAATTGTCTGTGGGGAAATTTGACTAGCTAAAAATTCAAATTACTACAGACTTCAATGTTTTCCACTGGCAACTGGCTAGTTCTATCTGCGATTGGAAGGTTGTGCGAAGTATGTGTCATGTGCATGTATGTCCATTGTGGTGTCTGTCCGCACTGTGAGCTACTGTGCGAAACAGTCTAAAATAGCATTGTCTGTGGGGAAATTTCCAGTTTGCTGATGCTATGCCTAGGCGGCACATCGAACGACGCAGCCCGAAGGCTCGAAGTTCAACACTGACGGTCATGGATGATGTATTCCAGTGGATGTTCCCCACCGAAAACACATACCCGCAAGTACCGGATGTATTCAAGCAAGTGCCTACTACTATGCACAACAGGACATGCACAGCTTCCCCCTGATCTGATGCCCTCGTCCTTCAATCAGTATGACACTGGGAATCTCATCCAGCATGCCAACACTCACCAGATTCCCTGCCCCAGCACACCTGCTCGCCAAGCCTCATTTCTACATTGATCCAGCCTCTGGTCTTTGTCGGTCCCCTTGAAAAACTGCACCCGGATGGCTACAACATTGTTCCATTGCAAATTCAAACCACACCGAGCCACCAACCTCATTGGGACTTTCCTGCAGCTGAGAGCACTGCACTGACACCTGTGAAAATTCCTGCATGACATGGACGCACACGAGTGACTCTGACATCAGTAAAACGCACAGTTGCTTACCTTACTTATTTTTAACTTTTCTCATGCAATAAGCAGAAATAAGCAAGGGTGCAAATAAGTAGATGGCCAGTTGAAAAAGGCCACTTGTCATCTGATTTTCTACTTTTATTTCACTTGTTTTACTTTTTGCAATTTCTCATTCAATAACAAGTACACTAAAAGCAGGTGGGAAAGCAAAAGAAGGGGAACCGTCCTGAGTGAAAAATGCAGGAATCAAGGAGGCAACATACTAAAATCTGGCATAGTAAAAGAGCCTCGAAGAGTGTCCCCGAGTCCCTCCCTGTCCCAAAACCAAAGGTAGTCAGAGGCACGGGAAGCAAATCGGGTGAAGGAAATAGACGTACCTCAGGGAAATTCAGATGACGAGATCTTGAAGCTTGCAGAGAGTCAGCTAAGCCAGGCTGATCTGAAGCTTGAATCCAATGGACTTGAAGTTACACCTGCAAAAGTTGCCTGGACACCTGTGAAGCTGGAAGCGAGAGTATTTTCTGATGAAGATAAACTGAAGGCTGTGAAGTACATTACCTCTCCAGAGATTTGGCCGACATTCAAGCTCATCCAGACAACAACGTTTACATATGTGAGCCTGATTTTTTGTGTTAGTATGTTCTCACTTACATATATGAGTGTAGATTGCATGTGTCTTGATGAAGGGCTGTCTCAATCAGCACAAATCCGTAACTTTTGGCACAACCAAGCTTGGCCAAAGTATAAGGCTGTGCGGGAGTGGCAGGAGCACACTGGTGGAGGTGACGGGGATGAAGATGACGATGGAGATGAGGTTGAAGGCGAGAGTGTTGAGGATGATATTGCACTTGATGGGACAAAGCGGAAACATACATCTAAGAAGAAAATATTGAAGAAAGTCCTTGACGAGTTCGAAGCTAGTGAACTTTTCAAAACCATTGATGCCATGTGAGTAATAGTCATTTATTCTAAGATACACTCTGATATTTTAGCAGTGCTCGGAATGATAGCATGGTAGTTTGCAGCCATGATATCAACTCCAGTGTCTCTATCTCCAACAACGAAACTCCACTGAAAAAATGTGTATGTAAGTCGATATTACTTGAGGCAAATGACTTTTCCGATACCACTGGACTCCTTCGTGAAATGATGGGTACTATGGGCGAACACCATAAACGTCAGGAGAAAGTCGATGAAACAAATTTGCAGGTTGCAAAACTCAACATGGAGGTCACATTAAAGCATGAGAAACGCGAACAGGAGGAGTATGAGCAACATCAGGCTGATATTCGGGCGAAGCGAGAAGAAGCACAAAGAAAGGCACAACAAGAGGAGTGGCAACAGGCTAGTGAATTTTTGAATCATCCTAACCCTCTGATACGAGCTCGTGGGGAAAGAATGGCAGAGCGACTGACTGCAGAGGAGACAGAGAAGAAAGCTTAGTCCATAGAGTAGTCTACAAGATTTTTTCGTCATAGAAGACCTAGACTGGTATAAATCATCCTCATTAGCATTGACCCCTGCCATCTGGACTGGACCTTCACCTCGGACATCATTCACATTTTTATCCTCCGTACCATTAAAACCCTTGATTGTTGTTGGGTCGTCACCAAATTCCTCCAAGACATTATGAAGGATCATTGCAGCTTCGACCATTCAGAAGATATCTGGTAAGTCAAATCCTGTCATACCACGGAGGAGTGGAAAACGACCCTTCAAGCGACCGAAGGCATGTTCAACAAAGATACGGAGGGATTGTCAACAAGAATATATTCGTGTTGTTGAAAGTAGTCTACTTTGTGCCTCCACAGGTGAGAATTTTTGAACACCCTGGCTATCTTGAACCAAGCCTGGCCATCCAAAGTCGTAAGACAGTAAAAATTGCCCAATGATCACAAGTTGCCTGTACAATAATCTAACATTTGAGATTGTTCAACTATTCAACAGTGTTAAGAAACAGTGCAGAGACGTACTGCATAAAACTTCTTGCAACACCAATATGCGAACCCATTCTCTGTTGGTTTGTTTTGCAAGTCGGATATAACTGCCATCAGCAATGCCAATACACCCAGGAAAACCCCAGCCCGCCATTTCAGCAGAGAGAAACTGCCTCCGTTGCTCTCCCAGCCAAGCTAGATGAGCACTTGGAATATTTCGAATTGCCTGACAAACTCGATAACAATAGATATAGACTGAACCCTCTGCAATGGACATCACACCCGCAGTTTTGAGGCCACTCTCAGCACCCAGACAGCACAAGAATGTAGCCAGTTGGTAATAAATGGGGCGCTGAGGACGGTTGCTGGTGCTAATGAAAATTGGGTCACCACATATCAAGTTGTGGAGATGCCAGAATGATTCTCTGCGCATTCTATTAGTTGTTAGTTAGTTGTTGAAAATGTAGAACACATAAGTGAAAATTTTCGTTACCGAAACCAGGCTTTGAACTGCTGTTCACTAGCCTGTTCAAGTAGAATATCAAAGAAGTCCTTAGACTTTGGTTGGTTGTATTCTCCACGCATGCTGTATTTCTTGTTTCGTGATTTCCATCTATAGTCTGCTGCGAGGCCTGCAAGAACAAGGCCGAGAAGTTCGTCATCATCATCTTCTGCTGTGGCGAGTTGTGCAATGGCAAGGACCTCAAGCTGTTTAGCTTAGACTGATAGTGCTTCAGTGGCCGGCATCCGAGACATCGTAAACGCGCCATGACGTGTGACCTATGACGATTATACCTGGAGATTTCGAGTAGCATCCCCACACTCGCATTGTTGAAACTCTGCGATGACGAGTGTTGAACAAACACAAATATATCATTTTATTTTTTACTCACTTGCTTGTTCACACAGCAATAGATACTCATTCACAAAAAAATAAAATGGGCGAAATAAAATGGAATTGAGTGGGGCTATTACATGGATCCAGGAATCCAAATGCACCTGGTTCATTGCCAGGAATGAACCCAAGTTGGTGGAGGTGTTTTGCCTTCCAGCCTGATTGGTAGTTGTTCGGGTCATGACTGAACCATCTAACCCACACAAAGTCCATTTGCTGGGGTGAGTTAAAGCCAGGTGCATCTCCACCTGTGTACACAACATTGACGTGAAAAACCCCAAGGATGTGGGCATACCAATATGGATGGTCACCCTTGTGCGCGAGGACCATTACATCGGCGTGAGTTTGTGGATTAAGCGAGTCTTGAGCACGGCAAAGGTCATATGTAGTGTAGTTTATCTGAAGCAGCCAATAGTGTCATATAGATATATCTTTTATGGACTATTAGCCAAAAAGTCCGATACATCATCTACTCTAATTGTCCACTGTCCATGGGGAGTGTATCCTGCGTTCTGGGTTACAGGTCTTGCTGTATGGGCCCGCGTGTTCGCATTTTCGGCCACCTACTGTGGGAACTTCTCCATAACACCCAAAACATAGCCCATTTTGGGTATTCTCCACAATATCAACCTTTCCCACACCCTCCCCATCCATCCCTGGCTCACCAACCACATCACAATTAGTTACGGCTTGCATTTATGTAGTAGTATAGGTTATATACACATAATAGAATATAATAGACCGCTTTTTCTCTTTATTTTTGCACCAATACCTGGTACAGAGCCTCTGCAAGTGTGACATAATAGAAAACATATCAAAAACTGTTTCGCATTTTTGCCCCTCCAGTATTGGGGTACTCTAGCATGTTTAGAATATGTTTGTAAACATATATGTACCTATCCCAGCCCTTATTTTACCTCCTAGAGCGCCCTATATCATGTACTGTGCTGTACTAGCATTAAATAGAAAATAGCTACACATTTTTTGAGCTTTAGGTATATAGACTTGTAAATATGATCCCCAACATCCCTTCAATAGTATATGCAACATATCAGGAGCCTAGGTCAACAGGATCAGTCCCTGTGGTGCTATGTGCTTACCCTCTCCTGGTGGTTCACCCCATGGGAAATTTTTTCCTGCAGCTCCAGCCCTCCAGGTTGGTAGGGTGCCTGTTCCTATTGATATCTAGAATATATAAATCACATAGCTGTATGAGAATAGCAACAGAATTACTGGAGGGGCAAAAATGCGAAACAGTTTTTGATATGTTTTCTATTATGTCACACTTGCAGAGGCTCTGTACCAGGTATTGGTGCAAAAATAAAGAGAAAAAGCGGTCTATTATATTCTATTATGTGTATATAACCTATACTACTACATAAATGCAAGCCGTAACTAATTGTGATGTGGTTGGTGAGCCAGGGATGGATGGGGAGGGTGTGGGTAGTGATGTGCATGGCCCGGCTTTAAGCCGTGGGCCAGCCAAAGCCAGCCCCCATTGAGCCAGGCCTAGCCAGGCCAAAGTCACGGCCTGTGTAAGGCTTTGGCCTGGCCCACCATTTTGCAAAGCCCGAGCCACCAGCCCAGGCTGTGGCTTTTAGGGGTGGTCGGCAAGGGTCAGCACCACCCCAGACATGTTGCATTGTTGTTGCTGTGTCTATTTTTGTCTTTGGCTTCTGTGTTATCCCCACATGTCAGAATCGTGTTCTTGCACTTTGAGGACTCGATGTTCTTCACTCCAGTGTTGAGATAGGCCTATTAAAGTATTTCTGCATCCTTCAGATGAGTGAGTTGTCATGTTTCTTTTGATCATGCACTTTGTAGCATCGACATTACTCACTCCAGTGTCAGAACAGGTCCTTTGATGCACTATGTCGTTGTCCGGAGGCTTGATGGTCTGTCAAACTTATATTGTTTGCTGATCTGTTGCTGTACATGTGCAAACTTATATTGTTTGCTGATCTGTTATTGTATGTGCATCTCTCCCTACTTCCTACCGCCTACTGCCACTGCCCTCACATGATCAACCCAGACTCAGCCTCCATCAATGGCAATGAGTGTCTTTGTCCCATACGACAGACAAAACCAACAGCTGCACTTCTCCAGCACTCAGAGAAGGTGGCCCTCACATCACAGACAAAAGCTATCAACAAGTCTCATGCTGCAGAGGCTGCGAAGTCTACTACCAAGAATAAATGGACTGCCACCCCAGGTCCATTGCTAGAGCCTGCAACAACCCAGCCCACCGCATCTACATCTAATGGCAAATGCCCCCACATTGAACTAATTTTGGATGATGTTCCATCCGATGAGCGTGAAAATGCACGCACAAATCCAAAACGTAAGTTTATTTTACCCTCAATGATTTGATTTGACTTACATTTAACCATTAGCAAAAAAACCTTGCAAACTCGCTGTGAGAACAGACACAGAGCCAGTGGGTGAGGATGGCATCCTCATTGACATCGACGTCCAGTCGATCGTGGACACAGGGTCAACATGTGAGCTCAGAACTGCTGATGTTGAAGCATTTTTCAGTGCTACATTCAATCACACTGGGTCTAACAGCAAAGTCAAGAAGCACTGCAAGTGCAAGGTTTGCCGGTAAGTCTGCTCATCCTTTGCCGTACTCACCTACTGATCAGCTGATAGAAAACAATGCATACTTGTCAATGAAACAACTACTCTTCATTGACACACTGAGGCCAACTTTGCAGTGAGTTACTGGTTGTGCTCTACCCATCTTTGTATTGACATGTTACATAGGGCAAATATTGTATGTGGGCAAAGCAAAACTCCTTCGAGTCCATGTTGCCTGGTGATGTCAAGGGTCGCAAGGAAAAGGCTGAAGATGACCAACGTGTCATTACCTCCCATCTGACTGAATGAAAGGTTGCCGAACGAATTGTCCCATACTCAGATGGTTTGTTCAAGTAGGCTGCTATTGAATGGCTTGTTGCCACTGACCAGGTATATCTCCCACCCTCTTGCAGTAACATTATCATTTGACTCGTGTTATCTAGCCTATTCAAGCATTCGAGCATCCAAAATTCAAGGAAATGATTGACGTTGCTGCCCGAGCAACTCATGGTGTCAAGATCCCAGGCAGGAAGGCGACTTGAGCCAAGATTATGAGGATATTTAAGAATAATCTTACAAGGTTCAAGGAGAAGCTCAATAGTGATGCTGTTAGCGGCATGATAAACACAACCTGCGATGCCTGGCAGGCTGGTAATGTTGATGCTTACTTCGCTGTGACAGGTCATTGGATTGAAGCGAAGATGGCTACACAATGGGAGTGCGAAAGTGCGCTACTCGGCTTCATGCAAGTCAACAATTCACACAACGGCAAGTGGCTTGGTGGGACTCTTTTCAAGATTCTGGACTGTCTTTGTATTGTACATAAGGTATGCTATTGTGACTAAACGATTTGTAGTTTGATAGGATTTTTTTTATAGCTCGGCCACATTACTTGTGACAATGCCGCTAACAACAGTACAATGCTTGAAGAGTTTGCTCAACTGTATGAAGTCCAATATAAAAAGGAATTTCCATGGCAGGCTCGCAGGATCAAGTAAGTCTGATATTATTTCGTGTCGGGTGTACCCTCACGTTATGACTGTAGCTGCCTAGTGCACATTATCAATCTCAGTACACAACTCCTCATTAGCACATACAGCAAGGCTCCCCACTACAATCCGCATGACTCCCGTGCTTTGGATCCTGACATGTCAATTCAAGGTGACCATGATGAGATTGGACTTATTCGCTCGATCTGTGTAAAGGAACGCTCATTGGCCAAATGAAAAGAGCTTTACAAGACTATTCAAGCTAAGGCTGGAATCTCGAACCCCACACAGCTCCTTCTCGATATGAAGGTTCGCTGGTCTTCAACATATGTAATGATCAATCGTGCGGAAGGCAGTAAGGAGGTGAGTCTAATATTCATGAGGTATTTGATGAATTTGATCCTGGGCCCCAGCATGTCGATGTTTTTGTGTACGAGATAGGCACACAAGAACGTAATCTGGAAAAATGTGCCAAAATTGATTACCTCCAGTTGACCTTGACTGAATGGACCTGTGTCGGTCAGTTTGCTGATCTACTCTCAGTATGTTCTGTTTCACATCCACACAAGTCTACCACTAATTTGTTGCTTCAGTATGCAGATGTAGCTCAACAGGCTTTCTCATCAGACAAGGGTACTACACTTCATCTAGCTATTTCTGCCCTCGAGACACTTCATCGAGCCTGGTCGTCTCAAGCAGACCAACCAAAGTATGCCTGTTTTTCAACTGCACTCCATGCTGCTGCGCAAAAGATTGACCAGTACCATGAAAAGACAACTGACTCACCAGCATACATCATGGCTATGTGTACATCTCATCCTGTTCATTCTGTTCTGCGTGCCACTGATGTTTCCGTACAGTACTTGATCCGATGGGCAAGATGGCATATTTTAAGAAACACTGGCCTGAAGACCTGCAAGACGAGGTCCTTGCCTGTGTGGAACTAGAGGCATGTTCAATTATGTTGCGATTCATTTTGTATTATTGATCCAGGACTTAGTTTAAAACTCGCTATCTTGCAATGGGAAGATCAGCGATACCGGTGCAAACATCTATCAAGAAAGGCAAAGTTAATGGCCTCAAAAAACTAATTTGTGAGACCCAGAGCGAGGACAAAGACAATGACCTCAGTTTTGGTGCATCGGCAGCCAACGTTGATCCTTCCAGACCCTGGTATGCCGATTTCAAACACTACATCAACACTGTCAAGGCAAAACTGCCATCCGGAATGAGTACAGTCACATGGTGGGGTGTACGTATATAATATTATATTCCAGCTCATTCCTTGTTACTGATGCTTACTTTTTGATAGATGAATGCTCACAGATACGGACCAGTGTGGTCCTCCATCGCTCAGGATTACTTGTCCATCATGGCATCATCCATTTCAAGCGAACGTGCCTTCTCACAGGGGGGTATTACCATCAGCAAGCATCATAATCGCCTCAAATGTGACATTGTTGAGGCACTGCAATGTGTCAAGTGTGCCATTCGTCACGACCTTCTCTTCCGCCTGCCTGGTCCATCATCGTCCACTGAGGAAGCTGACGAGTTTGATGTTGAACTGGATGGTAATGAAAACCTGGCGAGTGAGGGTGATGACGAAGAAGATGGTTGGGATGTCTTGCTACTGGAGGAGGACGAGGATGACATATATATTGATTGAATTTTGTTTTATTTACCATTATTCATTCATGTCATTGACCTGCTCATTTTTCCTACTCGGGCCATGGCTCAGGCCAGGCCAGGCCAGGCCAGGCCAGGCCAGGGCCAAGCCATGGTTGAGGGCTTTGGCCCGGCCTATGATTTCTGAAAGCCCTGGCCATCTGCAGCCAGGCCGAAGCTGGGGCTTTCGAGCCAAGCCAGGCCGGAACAACACTAGGTGTGGGAAAGGTTGATATTGTGGAGAATACCCAAAATGGGCTATGTTTTGGGTGTTGTGGAGAAGTTCCCACAGTAGGTGGCTGAAAATGCGCCTGTGAGTGGCTGTACTAAGTAATGCATCACATTCCCAAATGGAGATGTCCAATATAGTGGATAATTACAGCATAGGATGTATTGGAATATAGTGGATAACTACAGAATAAGATGTATCGGACTTTTAGGATAATGAGCCATAAAGATACATCCTTCTACCTGTATCTGGTGTCTGAAGTACCTTGTGGCCGAAAATGCAATCATTTATGAAGAGCACCTGGGCTCATTCCTTTGAAGCAAACTCTGCTTCATCACCGTCATACTCATGTCCGAGAATATGAACGAGCAGATGATCTTTGAGGTGAGGAAGAAAATCCTGTGAATGAATGACATCAAAAGGTAGTATACAAAAGTGAGATCAGTGAATACCTCTAGTGCAGGATCATTTGCATTCCTCCCAAGCCATTGAGGTACATTTAAAAAGTACCTTGTGCTTGTGGTGATGTGATAGTGTGCTTTCGGATCAGAGAACACTAATGGCTCTGACTCTTCGAAAGTGACACTGGGAAGGTCCTTTTATTGAGCCGTAGTGTGATGTTGGACCATGCCAGTGGCCTTGGCCTTGCCTTTCTTCGACTTTGCAGGCAGCTCACATTCTGCCAGTCGAAACAAAATTCTCTCTTGGTGCTGTTGTTTTGCGATTCCGGATGTGAACTTTGCCTTACTGACCCGTGGATAGAAACATTTCACACGATGGTGTTCAAGCTCGCCCTGGTAAAATGTATTAGGAACTGTTGACATTTAGAGTGTGTACATACGAGTTGAGTAGAATTGTTATCAGTAGTACCAAAGCGCCTAATCATGGAGACATAGTCACCAAGTGCATGGAGTTTGTAGGTCTGAAAGTTAAAATATCGGGTTTTTGATCCACTGGACATACTAGCTCTCGAGGACATCATGTTACCACCTTTTGCAGCTGCTCAGGCCTTGCGAAGCCCGCAGGCAGCTTCCTCACTAGGAAGGTCATGGGTTGTGAACTCTTTTGCAGTTTCTGACATAAATTGTTGGAGATATTTTCCAAGACATGTTGTTGAGGTGTTGAGAAATCCAAGAGTCGTATCTGTGTGCATGCGAAGCTTTGCGAGTCCATGCCATGTGGCAAGCTCAAAGAGAAGGTCAATTAACATTTCATTCCATGGCGATGGAAGTAGCCCCTCAAAAACTGGTATCGCACACTAAACAAATAGTTAGATAGTCACTGGTTGCTCCACATCAGCCAGTTTACCTGGAGTAAGTCCTCAAAATCTCTAGCAGCAAGTCGTTTCATTGCTGATGCATTGGAACTGAATTGCCGGATTGTGCCTCGTCCAAATGTCGGAACTTGTCAATACCTAGATGATAGTCTGAAATAAGCAACTCAGCACATGTACCTCTCGTTCAATCTTCCTATGTGATTGTGACCCACAACATCCTGGGCATATAATATATCAGTTGTTGTCATCAGCGAGAGGTCATGTTATATCAGCGCCGTTGGCTTAACATGTGCTGTTGGCTTGACGTGGTGATATATCACTGCATACTTGGCTTGATGTGGTGATACATCACCGCATACTGCATGCTACACCACTGTCCACTTACAGATACTGTGATCAGCGATCATGCTTTGTTTGACAGGAACAGTTCGATCTGACAATTCGAGATCTTGTATGAATAAGTACCTTACTGATCTTCATTCCCAATTCAGATATGTTTGAAAACAAACACAACAAGTAGTATTTGGGTGAAAAAACAGCCATAGACATACCAAACTGAGTCCATTATAATGGGACATTAAGACGATGGAATAGCCCCCCATATAGACCTAAAATGAAAAGCCAGGCTCCGTTGCAGTGAAGCCTGCCAATGCGCATATGCAACTGCACCTTCTGCTATCTCTGGTGACCCAAAAGTGCGACGTGAACCCTGCATGTCCCACCAAACAGCCTGCCACTCAAAGAAAGCAAGCACACACCTCATTTCTTCACACACTGGCTGCACCGCTTCTTCCCATCGATGTGCTCAAGCTCTGGCCCTGCACCATTCAACACGCAAGGCTGTAACAGATTCAATAAACAAGAAAAAAACATATTACGTGTACTCACAGTCCTGTAAGCCATACTCTGTGTTATCGGACACTCCATGTGTCTTCCAGATCCAGGACACTGTTTGCTGGCTGACTGTTGCCCCATTGTCTTGTCTCAGCAGGACAGCATCTTTTGCACAATTGAGCGGCTTGAAAGTGAGTAGCCAGTTGTCATCCTTGTGCAACCTTGGCGCTAGCTTGACAAGTGCATTGTGCACTGCGTTGTATTTGGCAGCGAGGGCATCAATCAGATTGTCCGCATTGTTGATTACTCCAGTTGTGCGAGTGTTGGCACGTTGACCGCGAATAAAAGTGTCTTTGTACTTATACAGGTGATATTTCATGTTGAGGACACAGCAAATGTTGTTCAGCGCATTGTTGGCCTGTGCCTCGTGCAAATCCCATTCGTGATTCAACAAGCGCTCCTCACAGGGTAAATTAGGGTATCGCAGATGGGAGGAATAGAATGATTTTGTGAACCTTCTGTTTGGTAGCAATGTCGTCAGATGAACGAAGTCGTGACACAACAGCATGTACAATAGTTGTACATGCGAACGTGTCAATGCATCGACGAAGGGAGTTGATGTGTTGCAACAGCGTTACTTGTTGAGCATTGGTGGGATGTTGTCCGATCTTCCTGGCCTCAAACGCAAGACATCGCCTAAGAAAAGTTTAGAATAATCTTTGCAACAATGAATAAATGATGTGCTGGTCTTCGAGATCTAGCCCAGACAAAATGAGCATCGAAGGTGATATATCATCATGGAGAGACATGCTCGTGCCATGTTCTATATCGTCTGCCTCAGCCTTTGACGATGCTAATCGAACCGATGCTTGGCTCACGGCTTATGATACTCAATTAGATAGGGACAATCACACATGCAGGAATAGACTCACCGGTGACCTTTAGTTCGAAGGGATTTGGTTTGGAATGGTCAGTCCCAAGCACAATGTCCTCCTTCCAGCAAGCTAACTGGCTGGAATTGAGTGCAGCCTCAAAGTGTTTAAGTCACCTGCGCTTGAGAACCTCCAGTAAGGCAGCCTTGAGCTTACGGGCAAGAATTTTACCTAAACCAAATGAAACACGAGAATTATCATTCTAGTTAACATGACTTACCCATCAAGCACACTTTCTTCCAGTTCCGCCGTTGAAATGGTCGTCAAGGGTCGCGCCTTGAACCAGG